AAGCATAACTGAATCCTATTTAAAAACAGATGTTGACTCGGTAAGACTGAGGCCAGCCGGGCTATAAAATACTGTCCTTGAGTTTCATGTGTCACTGTGCCCTTTGCTTTTTGTGTTTAAAACTTTTCCTTACATGCTGATGTCAAAATTTATTTGATATTTAATGTTTTAAGTAAATGAAAAAGTCAAAACCACACCAATATTTATAATTATTGTGTTCTTTTAAGTACAAGAAGCTCGGGTGGCCATCATACATGTACAAACTGTATTTTATTACATACAAAAATGTAAGGTTGGGAAGGCAAGTCACAGATTCCCAGAGAGTTCGGATGTTTACGTGATTCATGGTTTCTCTACCTGGGTCATCCTTACTTCATAACCCAGAACTGTTTCCATTTTGCTTCTGTAGTAATAAGAACACAAGGCCATTGTAAGAACCCAGACTTCGAACTTCGTTGCCATTGACTGTGTATGTTCACATGCTATCCTGACAGCCATCTTCAGGATCTTCCTGCATATGTTTGTACTGAGTTTCCTCAAAATTTTGCCCTGTTCAGGTGTCCACATGTTTACTACTGTCTGAATTTCATTTCTTGTTACCTTCCAGAAACAAATATCACCATAAATATTTATGCAGAACAATTGCAACACAATTGATCCCTATCTTTGAATGACATTCGAAGTTTAATCTACATAAAAGTCAAAACTAGGTGAAATATTTAAAACTTATAAGAAAAATACTGTGAGGTACTATTTTACGTGGGTTATATTTCATTCTAATGCAAATTTCAGAAGTTAGCAAAACATGCATTCGCTAAAGTATAAAACTAAACAAACAATGGGAAAGTGTTCACGTCTTAGTAGATATCAAAGAAATGTAGTATAGTTTATTAAACAAAAAGACTTCTCAAAAATAAAAATAATTACTGGCAATTATAGGCACAGTACCAGTAAAGTATTGAATTAGGTAAATAAATATACTTGAAATAGTAACTAGCCTTCCAAGGATGCCTCATGGTAATCTTATGCATTACTAGTGTGAGTAATATTAGTACAACTCTTTTGAAAAGTATTTTTTGGTATTATGTATAAAAAGAAAAAAATGCTTTGGCCCTTTGTCTCAATCATTGTGTTTCTGCCTGAGACACAATAGAAATAAAAAAATATATGCATGATGTTCATCTCAGCAAAAATTTTAGGGGAAAATCTCAATCTTCCACACTAGGAGAATATAAAATAATTGTTGTAAAACATACTAACTAACATACTAAGATATTTGATGATTACTATAAAGTTGAGTAATGTTACAAGTATTTTGATAAAATGTTGTGTTTTAAGATTATATATGCATGATCTCCATTAATAGCGTCTTCTGCGTGTTCATGTACTTCAGAAATCCAGGTGTCTCCCTTGACACGTCTCCACGATCTCCAAAGTAACGCTATCATGGTGAATGCCTCAGAATAAACTTTACTCACTAAATTACTCCGACTTTCTACTGTCCTCCACCTTCTCCACTGCTATCCTGGTTCAAGTGAACACTGTCTTTCGTAGACCCTACAAGTAAGGGGTCTTGCAGTGGACTGTACTCTCCACTAAAGATGCCAGTCTGACATGGCACACGCTCGTCTTCAGGACAAACACCAAGCCACTTCACTGCCGCCTGGTGCTGCGGCTTGATCAGCTGCTTCTCTCTTCTTCCTTGTGGTTACTCCGCCTCGCCCTTGACACACTCTAAACACGCAGTTGTTGCTCTCAGCTGGTACCCCGTGCCCAGCAAGCTCTCCCAGGCCATCCTGTTCACTACCTGTTGCCTAGTTCATCTTTCATCCTGCCAGCCCTATCATCTTCTTAGGGAATCCCCACTGCTACCTCAGGCCAGGTCCAGCTGTTAGGAGCTTTCACAGCGCCTGTTTACGTTTTGTTTATTGCTTGTCCCCCCACCCCACCACACACACACATTCCCACTCAAGCTGCATTGAAATTCCATGAAGGCAGAGACTTAGCTTCCTCTTTATTTTTAACCCAGGATTCAAATGTGTGTTGAATGAATAAATCACACTTAGCATAAAAGCCCTTATTTGTGAGTGAATTCCATTCCAGGAGACTATTACTATGTCAGATTTGCTGGTAAGTCCAACAAAGGAAGTCTTATGCACCTTTGACACAAATATATAAGGTAAAGCATAAAACCAAACACACAAAAATACAACAAGTCCTTGACTGTACTGCTCCACCACACACAATTGCACTGTACAGTAAGCACACAGCAACACAACCGCAACAATGTTTACCACAGCGCAAGCTACTTCATGATTCGTTCTGTCTACAAATGTTCTGAATGCGAGATGCATTCCTATTTGTGAAAGTTTGCAACTCGAATGTTCCTAAGCCAGGGACTTACTGTGCTGGTTACCTAACATCTGTATTATGGTTGGATTCGTGTTGTTTTGCACATTAGCCTGGGGTAGTCTAGTATCTCCTCGCTTACTGTTGCTTCCCAGCGTCTGACCATAGGAGGCCTTACACCGATGGGTACTGAATAAATTGTATCATAAAAAATAGGCAGGAAAAATTGCAACAGAAAGGCAGAGGTGGTTATGTTAGGACTGTAAAAGACTTTTTCTCTATAAACAATACATAATAGTAAAATAACAGTGCAAATAATTCATAATTAGAAATAGTTCTTGTGCATGATATCGATGGATAAACATAACAAATAAGCTAAACAAAAGAAATGATTGTTTTACTCCAAAAGATCATGTATTTGCATTATTCTGTAGGGTGGCCAAATGGTTGCATCATTTTGCATAGCTGTAATAATAGATAAAATGCTGTATGTTGTTTTCCCTATTTCATGTTACATCGTGCATATGTTCTCTAGGATTCTGCTTTCTATCTGCATAACTATGGTTAGCAGCCAAGTGATTTTTTAAAATTTTGTGTGCTTAGGGAATACTTATTGCTTGTAAGATATGTTTCCTGGAACAGAATTCAAGGTCTACAAGCATTGACAGGGAAATACAGACTTCTGAGTTTACTGGTCACAAGATGACAAAGAAACAGATAATAATGGATGTGTGTGCCAGCACAGAATAAGTGCTTGATGTAGAGTTAGTGAACTGTGATTATTTTTAATAGAGACTCCACGTTTTATCAAGCCTGTGAGGAAAAAGAGCTACATTTGTAGAGAGTAATCCCAGGTCAGGTGGCTCAGCTATTTTCTGAAAAAAGATGGGTATCTTGAGAGGTGGGGGCATGGGGGGACTGACCTGGAGAGTTAATGATAAAGCGGTAAATAGAGGTCATGCACAAGTGTAGGACATTGTGAGTGAGGTGATACTGATTCGAACTTATTTGAAGCTCTATAAATGGCATAATTTATGAATTTATAAATAAAAAATCTAAGCGTCTTTCTCTGCCTTTAATCATAAAGTTACTTCAAAACAGTAGACATTTGAAAGTCATGTTTATCCTCTAGATTGCTCTGAATATTTTCCACTTTTCTTAGCTTTACCACCCTCCTGTTGGAATAAGCAAACTTCTCTATCTCCCAGACCTTATAATTCATCCTGGCTGTCTCCAGTCCTTCCCCCAGGACACCCTGGTACTTGTGAGAATTGCCTCTGCTCAGAAGTATCAGAGACTTAGAACTCCGACTCCCTTCATTTGCTCAGTCAGAAGCAAATACTGCAGGCGTCTCAGTGTTCTGTTAGTAGGGCCATGTGTCAGAGGGTGGCCTTGGTAAGGAGACGGCACCAGGGCAGATTCTGTAGGCAGAAGACGGCAGCTGCCTAATGCTTTTTGAATACATGTCTGGACAGGATGACCTCCGGCTTCCTTCTTGAATATTTTCATAGAAACAGCAGTATCATAGCCCAGGGCAGAAAGATGAGTTACAGCCATCTCAGTTCATTGCATTTAACCCCAGATAGGCCGTGTTGCAGACAGTTTGTTACCAACTTCCTTATAATACAAAGCCCCTAACAATTAGGCTTTGCAGCAGACCCTGGATAGAGGGTTATAGCTGCTAAATAAACCATCAGAGTTTTGCAAGCTTAATGTTTTCATCAGTACTATAAGAAAGCGCCCACTTACACCCCCACAGCCTGGCCTGGTTAATCCTGTGGATTAAACTTCCCTTTCTCCTCTTGTGCCTCCATCCAGGGTTGTGGACGAAGCACTTCTCAAACAGTGCCTGGTTTCTCCTGAAATTGAGCAAAATTATGTACTTTGAAAAAACAATAAATCACAACTGGTAATTTAATTAAAGACTTAAAGCAGCATTTTTTAAAAAGCAGTGTTTCATCTGAGAGAGGACTTACATTAGAAGGTGTAAAAAGAGGCGGGGGAGGCATGACAGGATTTCAGGCCTGGTTTTCTGGTCGTGCTTGTGCTCTGGGTGGCCTTTCCTGTGGATCTCAAACTTCATGTCCCCTGTGTGAGCTTTAGCACTGCAGTCATTCATAAGCTTTTGTGTCTTTATGTTTAAAGAATTCCATTAGCTAAGACCATTGCATTCAGTAACTTCTTTTCTGCATGTTAGCTTTTATTTGTGATCACTGGGTAATAAAACCTCCAAGTCTTATATTCACTGTTTAAGCCTGTCTACATGGGGCCCCAGTAAGCATTTATTGATGAACAGTGCTTAATAAACATTTAATGGATTAATGAGTGAGCAATCTGAAGTAGAATATTCTAGTCTCTACGGGTCATTAGAACATCTATCACTTTGTTGCATTATTAGATCAGGTTTAGCACATTGCCCAGCCTAGTGTGTTGCATTGACTTGATAATGATTTTAACTACTAGAAAAGAGCTTTAGGTTGTACTGTATACAGAATCCATCCAAAATATATACATAGTGGTCAAAGGAAAATTCTGACTGGTGCTGATTTCTTTATGCTTCTCTTCCATCAAGTAACGTTTAGCCCCTCATATAAGCTTGTACTAGATAGGAATGAATTTGAAGAGTGCATTGATATTTTGTTTTATTTCAGCAAACTTCAGAAGACCAAAAGGGATATCAGATGGCTTCAAGGAGTGACTGGTGAATGGTTTGAAGAAATTCAAAGAAAAAAGTTTTGCAATGAAACAGATGTTAGCAAAATGTTCAAACAACCACTTATGTACAGGCTAAGAGAGGAGATGGCAAAAAATGGTGAGAAAAACTGATTAGTTTTAAGTTTTTTTAAATTTGTGGACTAGCCTGGTAGACAGTGGCTAAGGGGGGGTCTCTGATTTAAACAATCCATAACAATTATAAGGCACAAAAACTTTATAATATGATAAAGAGTAAAATGAAATTTTATTGCAGTAATGCTTTTAAAATCAGACAAAATAAGATAACATTTAAGAATGTAAATATGGATGCCAGAAAAAAGGCCTGGTTTTAGATCTCTACTTGGTCTGTGTGCACATGAATCTGTGCACAGTATTGATTCTCTATAAACTTCAGTTTTCTAATATCTAAATAAAATATAATACCACATAGCATGGCTCTGAGAATTAAATAAAATGATGCATATGAAATATTAACCTGGAATTTAGTAACGTAAAACACTTCAATGACATTGTGATGACTAAGGAAGAAGCAGAGACCAGGGGTCCGGGAGGGGGACAGCAAGTCGGGGAGGGCTGTGATCCTCCTGGAGCTGCTGTAAACTCCAGAGATGAGTGCTAACCAAGCCTCCTGGGGACATTCCAACTGTGTGACTACCAACATATCACTTAACTTCACAATTGTTCTTCAATATGTAAATAAAGATGGCAAACCTGCTTTCCTCTGCTCAGCAGACCCATCAGGGCACAGGATTCTGTCTTACAAGGAGCTTTGACTCCCTTTCCTTCTCCGGGTCTTTGAGAGGATGTGTCTTCTGTTTCTGGACTGCATAGAGGGAGAGAGGGAAGCAAAAGCCAAGGTTCATTCTTTCAAGTATGCTTATCTAGAAAAACCTTAACAATGCAAAAATTTACAATTTTTTTTAGATCCCGTGGAATTACAAACATCAAGATCTAACAATGTAACTAATCCAAAAACCCCAGCATCTGTTCCTTCTCGGCTGAGCTTCAGATCATCATTTGCTAACCTATTTTCGTTCAGAAAATTTGGGCGGGAGACTGTCAAGCTCCAGTCGCTGGGACAGAAAGGGTGAGTTAAACTCGTATCATGGGACTGCTTCTTAGTTATCTGACAGCAGAGGCCAAGTGCCAGTTTTGTGTTTCTTCACAGAATGTTTCTTTATGCTTCATAGAATTTCAGTTCAGGTAGCAACAAGGACAGAGGGCTTAGCTGGCACAGCGCCGTAGTTCTTAGGAAACTCACTCGGCTCACCTGCACTCTCAAGTTCTAACCAGCTACAGATGTCCCTGGTGGTAGACTTGGTGCACAATGGGTTAAATGTTGAGAAATAGTTATTAACAGTTGTTGCATGACTCCAAGAGCAAGCCTACTGCCTGAGGGACATGTCCCTGGTCATAAAGGAGTTGCAGCAGGTGACCATTAATGTAAGAAAAATGGTAGGAAAAAATTCTGAAACACAGAAAAGGAGGCATGTCGGTTACCAGGAATATTGGTGCAGTCATTCCCATGTGGCCATCCAGAATTTAAATATAAGGCGGAGCAGAGAAAGCTTCTGGGACACCCGAGGCGTAGTACCCGTGCTGGTTTAGAACCACGTAAACAGTTTTCCTGAACTCAGAAGGCCATGGGGTCACTTCGTGGAAAAGAAGCACGCCTGTGCTGGTGAATGTCTGAGCTGACTGCTGAATATTTTCCTCCTGTCTTCCTGGTTGCAAAGCTTCCCACCCCTCAAGGTGTTGGCTTGGCACGTGATGTGTTCCGTGTGCAGTCAAGCCATGAATGTGTTGCAGTGCTAAATAAAAGGTGTTGGAGGTCACTGTTGCTGGAAAACAAGAGGCGGCACCCAGCTGCAGCGCGTGTCATGAGGCGCTCAGGCTTGGAGGAGGACTGCCTTCCTCGGGTGGGTGGAAGGAGCTTTACTGTCAGCTGTAACTGGGGCTCTGTGAAGTCGTGAGGAGCAGAGCGAAGTGTAGGTTTACCTGTCTGTCAGGAAACACTCTTCAACTAGGTGAGTGGCCTTTCTTTGTAAAAATGTTTGCGATATTAGTAATTCTGTCACTTTGGGAGTTTGAGGAGTATTTCCTACATAGAAAATATTTTTTTAAGAGAAAAGAAATATTCCTAGAACTTATAATGTAATTTGTATTTAAAGTGCTTTTTCTTTAAGGCAGAGTTTAATATGGCTGCCTAATCTAGTATTAATAAACTGGGAAAAGCTAAGGAACCTTGTTAACTGTAGAGGCAAGTTATTTCCAAAGTCCTATCACACAGTGTATTCTGGATGTAGGTAAGACTATCATAAAAATTTAAAACTTGCAAAATTCTGTTTAGCAAATATTCTCCAATATCAAAATGACTCAGTTCTCTTGTAAAGAGACAAACTGAAACATAAAACACAGCATAGAAAGGGAAACTGATTTCATCAGGTATTTCATTAAGTAAATTTCCTAAGTATCCCGCAGTTTTCAGGGTTTGTTGCCTTTAAAAACATTTTACTTCCAAAATATAAATTAGGAATATTTAAGATTTATCTCAACATTACTATTACTGTTGGCAAGTGCTTATTAATTCTGCAGATGTAGAATACAATGAAAAAGGCACCAGTGTTTGCTCCTAAGAGTTTTCAGAAGATAAAATGCAAAAACATACATTCAAATTTTTAAATTTGAAAATGACCTAAATATTTGGATATAAATCCTAAGTGGAGGGGGCAAATTTTTAAGGGGGATATACCACGGCAGCTAATATAAATTATATATCGCACACCCTGAGGGCCTCTTTAACCTCAGGTAGGGTTTCAGTTTCTTTGACAGTTTTGACCTTCCAAAATACAAAATCAACCTTGGAAATACCTTCTGCTTCAGGAGCAAAGTGAAGTGGGGTTGTTCCCTGTGAGCCTATGGGAGGGCCTGAGTGGGCAGGAAAGCACAGTCGTCCTGGGCCAGCGCCTGCCGGGCTTCTGAGAGCCTCCTGAAGCTATCGAGGTGTCACAGTCTCGCGGCATAACTCCGCAGAGCAGTTTAGAGGGTTTTTATTTCACTTTCCAAAACTGGATTCAAAGAAAAGGTAATAAACTCAGAGAACAAGAATTATCACTTAATGTGAAAGACAGCCTTGTGTTCGGACCGAGTGGATAAACCCTCCCTGAGAGCCAGGAAAGCACAGTGTGCCCGCAGCCCATCCGCAGTTCAGCTACCCACGCTCAGCCCAGCATTGTGATAATCCTGGTAGGGTAGAACTAGACGCCCTGAAAGAGACAGATTGAGAAAGACCACATTCACATAACTTTTATTGCAGTATATTGTTCTAATTGTTCTCCTCGATTTATTGTTGATGTTAATTTCTTACTGTGCCTAATTTATAAATCAAACTATCATAGGTGTGTGTGTGTGTGTGTGTGTGTGTGTGTGTGTGTGTGTGTAGAGAAAGCATAATATATAAGGTTTTGTTACTCCCTGTGGTTTCGGGCATCCCCGGGGAGTGAGCTTGGACTGTGTGCTCTTCCCCCAGCTCCCAGGATGAGGAAGAATGATGGTTATGGTATCTTGAAACTTCAGTTTCCTACTTTCAATGGATGGAAAGCCGTGAGAATACTGTGATTTTGTGAGCGGATAAAAGCAAACATGGTTTCTTCCTCCTCCCAACCTTATGCTCTAACAAAGTCATCCCATTTGGGTCTAATGCTATTGGTGAATGATTAGCCAGACCCAAACTCCAAGAAGAAAGAAAAATATTTTCCATTTTCCGCATTGCTAGCCAAAACCAAAACCAAACACAAAAAACCCTCAAGAAAGGTCTACAGATGTGGCCTCTAGCTTTCCTCCATCCCCGACACTTCCCTGTAGGTGACGTTTCCTTGCATCATGTTGTGGGTTTCTGGAGGATATAACATACATGCCCAGCTTCACCACAGAATTCCAGTTAAACTGTGTCTCACACACTCCCTCCCTGTAGTTCAGAAAGTCTCGGTAGCGTAGGGCATGAGAGTATAGGCACAGGCTTCCTTGCTTGGTCCAAGCCCTAGTTGTGCCAGGGTGAATCCTGCCCACTCCGAGAAGGGACGTGCTCTGCCCTTCTCTGCCCATGTTGCAACATGCTCCACTGGGGAGCCTCTCCCTCAAGGGAGACAGTCACCCAGAGGTCCTCACCTTCTCCAAGCTGTGCAACCAATGCCACCAGTTGGCTATGGTGATTTTATAGTTATTAGGCCTTTTAGAGATGTGACTCTCTCTCCTTACTTTTCCCTTGTGATAATCCCCGGCCTGGACCAAGGGAGCTAATTCATAAGGCCCACGAGTAACAGCTACAATTAAACTTAAAGTCCTGTGTCCCTCCAGGATTATCACAATGCTTACATATGGTGTCTCTCACTATATAGCTGTGACTAGAGTGACAGCTCCCATCTCGGGGTAGGAGTATGCACATACCCTGCCCTGTTTCTTTAAAATGACTTCTTCCCATCAGATGCAAAGAGCAAAGCACTTTGATGATCCACGTAGCTGCTCTTCAGGCATGCCCCAATTTGCCTGATCTATAGGGCGTAAACCTCTTAAGCCATCCAGCTGCAGCCTGCCTCACGTAAGCAGAAAGGTCAGATACCATTTTGGAAGCTAAAAAGCAGGTCATATATTTTTCCTGAATATTCTCTCTCTCTCTCTCTCTCTCTCTCTCTCTCTCTCTCTCTCTCTCTCTCTCTCTCTCTCTCTCTGCCACTCTCTCTCTGTCTCTCTCTCCCCTCTTTTAAACAGAGAAGTACATAATCAGATTTTCATCTTAGAAAGATCACAAGTTGGTTTCAATCAGGGGCAATTTTGTGCTCTAAAGGATATTCAGCAATGTTTGAAATGTTTTTGATTTTCACAAATGAAGTAGGGGTGGAGGCCAGGGAGGTTAACATCCTGCAGTGTGCAGAACATTCCCCTACAAAAAGAAAGAGACAGAAACAGTGCCACGACTGAGCAATGCTGTCCATCTGCAGGGTAAGGAGATCCGAAGGAGCAAACTTTAAGTCAGAGAGACCAGGTAAGAGGCTGAATCACAGGAACTTGGCATCTGATGTGGTAGGTGAGGAAGAAAGGGATTGGAGATGAACGTTCTTCCACCCTTTTCTTGGGAAAGTAGGTGAATGATCGTGAATGTAAAGGGAAGAACAGATGTGCTGAGAATAATTTAATTCATTTAAACAACAAAACTGCATAAGGATACACAAGAAGCACAAGTATAAAACAGATAGCCGTGCCTTCATAGGCTTTAGTCTTCCTGAACAACAAAAAGGGAATACAGACACATGAAGAACTGTGCTGCAGTGCAGATCTGCGTGCCATGGGAACTCAGGGTGCCCATGGATCCTAGACTAAGCCTGGTAAGCCTCCCGGAGAAAATGACGTTTATAGTGATTCTTCTAGCATGAGATACTTATCCAGGCAAAGAGCTGAAAAGAAAGCATTTCAGGCAAAGAAACAATCTATACAGATGTCTATCAAACCCCCTCTGGCAGAAGAGACGTAGGAAAGTGAGATTTGAGGCTGGAAAGTATGCGGGGATGAGATCATGTAGGGGTTTAAGAAGGCACAAAAGAATTTCAGTGCTCACCCAGGAGCACGCAGGAGGCTGTAGGAAAGCGGCGCGCTTCAGATGGTGCCGATCATGCTGGCTAAAGCTTAGAATGGATTAGATTGGCACAAAAGTGAAAGACAGTGAAGGGACGATTGCAGTTAGAAAGACAAGGGAGGATAAATGTCTTGGACAGCGTAAAGATAGAGAGAGATGGAGGTGAGGAAGGATTTGAGAGGGTTTCTGAGTTTAAAGGAAGGAATGGATGGAAGAAAGGTATGAGTCCATTTCAGACTCGTAAGATCTAAATCGTTTGTGGTCATCCGCATGGAACTCTTTGGTGGAAAAGTATACTCTACCAGTCCTTGGGGGAAGTTATCCAGGATTCTGGTTAGAAATGAATTTTATTGAACCTGTTTTGTTACATGGGAATTTCTTGATGGCATCTGTAAGGATTATGGAAAGGAGAAAAGGATGGAATTAACTTGGGAACAAAGTCTGGGGAAATGAGGTCGGTGGGGTCACCAGATAAGAGCCTGTGTCATGTTGAGATTATATATCCTTCCTTGTAAGATCTTCAGGCAGAGGTTTTAGACAGGTCTTCCATTAGTGGTGTGAAGGGTGGAGGTGGAGAATGGAGATGTCTGTGAGAGATCTCTAGAACACCCAGTAATGGAGTTCAGGAGTGCACGCAGATGAGGCGCCTTTGTAACTACTGAGAAGGTAGACTTTTACCAGCACAACCTTCAAGATACCACTGATTCATTCTACAAGAGGAAGTATTACCATCAGAAACACAAATTAGTTTATGCAGGGCCTGGCCTGGGTGCAGAGTCTCTGGGCTCTGAAGCAGCTGGGTTGCACCCCTGCAGCCAAGCCCACAGTGGTCCACAGCCACACGCACCCTCAGGTGACTGCACACCCCTCCACTCGCTTCAGGCCTTTGCGCTTGGCGGGCCACTGTACCAGCTGTGATCCAGGCACTGTCTGGTCCTTTCGCTGCATCGTCCACTCGCTTGCCGTTCTCAGAAACCTTCCCCTGCTGCCCTTCCTCCAGAGCAGACTGAGGGCTCGCTGAGGTGGTGAGAGCTGAGCTGTGGGACGTGCTGGGAGGGCGGCAGCCCTCCAAGATTCTGGACCAAACCTGCAAACGTGGCCTGTACTCTCAGCGCCAGGCAGATCGCCTCACCTGCTGTTTCCCACCGTGGCTTCGAGGCCTCTGTCTCCAAGCCTTTGCTCGTGCTGTGCTGTGCTGTAGCTGCCGGGCCAGTTCCCAGCCACATCCTCCCGATGGCCTCCCCCCTCCCCCTGAGTGCTTGCCCCTCTGCATTTTTAGTGCATCTCACTTACATCTTTTTACTACCCTTATCAAGTTGTGGCTTATAGTTCAGCGTAGGCATCTAACCTTTCCTATTGTTAAAAGCTCTCAGAGAATTAGTTCCTACCTCAGTTATATTTGTTTCCTGTAAAGAGCTCAAAGGAGTACATGGCGTGTATGAGGGATAGAGACAATATGTATGAATAGGAAGAATAAAAACATAAGCATCCCTATCTCCAAAACCAAAATCCATAATGTTCCAAAATTCCAAACCTTTCTGAATGTGAGCATGACCCCACAGCTGGAAACTGCTGCAGCTGACCTCATGTCAAAATGCAGCCACACTAAAAATACCGTATAAAATAACTTCCAGGATATATGTATGAGATGTATATGAATCGTGAATGAACTTCATGTTTAGACCTTGGTCCCGTTCCCATATCTTGATAGATTTATGCAAATATTTTAAAATCTCAAAAATGAAATTCAAAACACTTCTGATTTCAAGCATTTCTGATAAGGACTATTCAACCTGTATTTAACTTCCAGATATTATTGGTAGACGTAGTACTTCAGAGTAACATGAAGAATATCCATGGTATTGTTGTAAAGTTTTGTTTAAAGTCGGAGCTAACCTCCGCCAGGCGTGGTGGCACACCCCCATAATCACACCAGTGGGAGGCTGAGGCGAGAGGATTGCTGTGAGTTCCAGGCCAGCCTGGGCCACCTGGTGATGTCACAGCCGGCCTGTACTAAATAGTAAGACCCTGTTTCAAAAAAGAAAAGAGAATCTGAGCTAAACTATAAAGTACATGTGGATATTTTCAAAATATAAAATTACTTGGCCTCTAGGCGTTGTGTTTTCATGAACCCCGAAGCGGCTGGAATGAAGGGCAGCTGTGCCTTGTCACTTTGTCTGCTCCAGCCTGCAGCCCAGTGTGTTACACGCTTTCTTCCCCTGGTTGTTCCTTGGTGAGACGATCTGATTTCATGAAGAGCGCTGAGTCACTAGATCTATATTAATCCTGAATCAATTCAGCAGAGCACATCTAGACTGTAAAGCAGATTTAGAAGATCAACATCTATCTCAATTTTGGGCTTAAATCTTATAAATTTTTTACCTTCTCACCGAATTTGTGAGAAGCTATAAAAATAGTAAAAGTATATTTATTTGTTCATTTTTAAAATGATTTCATAGGGCCAGGGACGTAGCTCAATGGCATAATAAGCACCTGCCTGGCGAGCATGACATGGTACCTTCGATCCCCGGTACCTAAGTAAATAAAATGACTTCGTAATAACAAATCAGGCATGTTTATAAAAATGATCACCCTGGAGCAATTTTTGTGGTGTTTGGTTTTTGAATAATTATGGATTAAGTCTGTCCTGAGCTAACTGTTCTTTAAAATATAAATGTTTTCCATTCGCAAGAAGAGTCAGTGCGCCAGCCGAGGGAAGAAGGGCTGCGGAGTCAGACAGCCTGGGCCCAGCGTTAGCCTTGCTACTAATTGTGTTTCTCAAACTGTGTTTTCTAGTTTTCCTACACCTCTGTTGTCTCCCCTGTAAAAGGGAAGCAGAAATAAAATCCACCTGTCAGGAATAAAGTATCAAAGAGTTACCTCGCAGAAGAGCAGGAGACTGATGCCTGTCACATAGTAAACACTCAACAGATGCAATTATTTTGTAATTAACTTTTTATGCTGTGTTCAAATACAGATACACTCTTACAGAATTTTTTTGGCTGCCTGAGAGGCAAAGATTTAAAATTTTAATTCTATGGAATCATAGAAAGTGGCTTCTGAAATTTTATCCAATAATGCACTAAACCAGAAGTGTCCTTCTAAAAGAAAAGAAAAGATATATATATATATATATATATATATATATATATATATTCTCAAGACATTAACACAGAATGGTAAAAGTGCATTGATATTCCCCTGGGTAAAAGTTAAGCTCTTCAAAAAAATAATTTCAAATTCTTTCCACAGGTGTGATGGCCAGGTAGGACCTCCTGTATCTATGAGGGAGACCACTGTGGTAAGTGGCCAGAGAATCAAGGTTACACTAAGAAATTCGGAATCTGGGCCACCATGTTCCCTTTTCCGTGGTGGCCCTGCCTCCTGCTGCAGGTGCACTTCTTCCCCTGCTTTACTTGGCCCAAACTTGGTCTAGAGAGCCGGTTTCTTTTCCTACCTTTAATAAAACTATGTTTCTGTAAAAACAGAGGGAGACAGAGTCAGACAGAGAAAAAAGAAAGAGAGAAAGAAAGAAACAAAGAAAGAGAGAAGAAATCTATACAATCTCACACTGGTTGCCTATTTCACAGGGGTTCAGTAGGCTCTGTTCCAACTTACTTTGGAAGCCGAGATTGCTGCGTGAGAGCTCTGTTTCCCAGTTGTGATTTCCAGTTGGCTCCGGTACTGAAAGGCTCCAACACTAGGCTCTCTGGGAAGGAGTGAAGCCATAATGTTTCCATTCACACGATCAGCATGCCCCTGACACTTTACTGTGCATCCCTCCGGTACAGCCCTGAAGACTTAGACAGAGAGGGAAGAGAATCAAAAGGCCGAACCAGGCCAGCGCACAGGCTGGGCAACGAGAGAGCAAGGTACCGACGGCCTGGACACAGTGTGCTGGAAAACCAGAGCTGCAGGACCAGGGGCCTGGGGAGATTGAGCAGGGGCTCTGGAGCCCCAGCCTGGCATAAATCCTCCTCCCCCACTGTGACGGCAGCAAACAGCCTGACCTTCTTTTTTTATCTTTTATTCTTTGTCTTTTTGAGACAGGTTCTCACTATGAAGTTTAGGCTGACCTTGAGCTCACTTTGAAGCCCAGGCTCATCTCGGATTTGCAATGATCCTCCTGCCTCAGTCTCCCTTGTACTGGGATTACAGGTGTGCACCACCACACCCGCCAGTCTGACCTTCTAAAACCTCAACTTTTTCAAAGGAAGGATAATAGTTACCAGGAACAGTGAGGAGCTCAAAATAATAAAGTAACTTAATATAGTCTGTAATAATCAACGTTTAGTAGCTGCTGCTGCCAATAATAATAATATCAATAATATTTCACACATCACTCAAAGTTAGAGGTCTATAGAGTAGTGATAATAACTTAATATTCTTTATGGCACACGCCAACCAACCATTAACTAGCAGCTACTTATCTTTAAAGTTCTATTAAGAAAATTCTCTTTTAAAAATCCTTGAAAAGTTAAAGGTGAATATAAATAAAACCTGGGTATTTTCTTAGCCATGTGATTTACATTTCTACGTGTGGGAAACATGTTGGGGGGGTGGGATTGTCCTGGAAATAGAAGATCTGGACGGAGTTAGAACCAAAGGAAGTGAGTCAGGGATCCTGAGGAGGGCGGCCTTTCCAGCACATGGAGCCTCGTCCCTCCACCTGAGTCCTCAGTTCACGCTCTGTCAATTTCCCTGCAAATTTTCACTCTACAAAGATAATGTCAGGAGCTATGTAGCCATGTACTGTGGTCTACATAAAGGAAATCTGAAGTTTGTCCAGGTTCAAACGGTTGTATTCTCCTAATCAAATGTATCTATTTACACCAACTACCAAAACTGCAGATTTAGGAAGAATAAACTTAAAAGACCCATGGCTAATTATTATTAATCCAAATAGTCAGAGAAACATTAGTCAGGGAACAGAATACTTTGATGTGCCTTACAGTGAAAAGAACACTGATTGCCTTTTTTTTTTTAATTTTATTTAAGGAGAAAAAAAAAAACAGAAAAAGGGTACAAGTTATACAGAATTTTAAAAAAATAAACAGTAGGAAATCACTAGTTAATAGAGTACATATTGTCATTTTAGAAATAGCTGTTCAAGTTACAAAATTAAAACATATAGAGTGGACATTCAAACAGTGAGACTGCAAACAGTTCTGTTCAATGATCCAACAAAAACTCAGTAATATGGTAATCTGTCTTATATGCTTAAATATACATGCAGTTATATCCTTTAGAGCACTTTTCTTTTCCTTTTTTTTACAATGACAGTTACACATTTTGGGTTTTATTACTCCCACAGTTCTTATTACTTTTTATGAAGAGAATAAAACCAAATGTGACATAACAAAACAGAGTCAGTCAAATCAAAAGGATGGACATAGTACATAATGTAAAAACAGAATACAAGGTGATCAACAATGGTTACCATAATGCCTCTTGCTATCTTAAAAAGAATTGCCTATATCATCAGGTATAATAAAAATTGAATAAAACAGTAATGAACAAAACCAATAAAACCAAAACACTGGAGACATTACAGGACTTCTAAAGAAGATAATAGTCAAACCCGAATGGGCATCATAGTGAATCTTATTGTCTTCAAAGTAGTTGCCTATACTCTCAAACTTGATACTATCAAGCAAAAGAGAATAGAGTAAAATCAGTCAAAACAAGGTGCTGAGAGCAATACAGGGTTTCAAATCAAGTTAATAGGAAATCAAAGTGGGTTACTATAATATATCCTGCTATTTTTTATTTATTTTTTCCCTTAATTAAAAAAATAGAGATAAGAGATAAATAATAAAAAAGGAGATTGAGATAAAAGAGGACATAACAACACAAAACAGCACAGGTCAGAACATAATTTAAGCAAAATAGTGTTTTACCACAAGATATCCCGGCATAAAAGTAGTTACCATAGTGTCTCTTTCCTTGAAATCTTTGAGTATATCTTCGTACACTGTAGCATCAAACATATCAAGACGATGTAAAACCATTCAAGAGAATGACTACTACAGGGAATTTAGAACCAACTAACAGAAAATGAACAATGGTTACTATATTATCTCCTTGTCTATACAAGTTTTTGTTTATATTATCACATATAATAAAATCCAATAAGATACAATATGTTAAGACCAATGGAGACAGAAGAACAAAAGCTTGATGGGACTTCAAAACAAGATGATATTAAATGAGCACTAGCTATTATGATGTCTTATTACAATGTCTTATTTTCTCCAAAATAGCTGTTCATACCATCCAACCTTCTCTGCCTCATTTCTGTTGAGCTCTTTTTCTGTCATTAGTTGTCAGTTTGTCTTCTTCATTTTGCTTTCTGCTCCATTCATTGTGGCCTCTCTGCCACTATTTCTGGAATCTTGGTATTTTTCTCTTTTAGAATATCCTGCAGTATTTGTAGAGTTGAATTGGTGGTTGCAAATTCCTCTAGTTCCTCTTTATCCTGGAAGCACCTTGTTTTTCCATCAATTTCTAGGGACAGTTGTGCAGGATATATCAATCTTGGCTGGAGGAATTGTCTTTCAAAGCTTGAATTATTTCGCCCCATGCTCTTCGTGATTTGATGGTTTGTGCCGAGAAGTTTGCTGTAATTCTGATGGGTGTTCCCTTGTAAGTGATCTGTTTCTTGTCTCTGACGGCTTTTAATATTCTGTTCTTATATTGGATTTCTGGAATTTTGATTATTATATGCCTGGGTGTAGTTCTGTTTGGGTTGTAGGTGGCTGGGGTCCTGTATGCCTCATATATCTGAGTATCTTTACCTTTTCCTATATTAGGGAAGTTCTCCTTGATTATTTCTGTGAATAGCCTTTTCAGTTCATTTGTTTGTATCCCTGCTTCTTCCTTTACATTCTTAAGGTATAGATCCTCTTATCATTTTCTAGCCTTTGTATTGTTACTGCTTGTTTCCTTGTTATTTTTAAGAAGTTTTTTCCTTTCATGCTCCCACATTACAAATCTGTCCTCCAGTTCAGATAATCTATCCTTAGTTTCTTTCAAGCTGTTATGCCAGCTTTCAATAGAGTTTTTAGTTTCCTGGTAATGTCTTTGAACCTGCTTCATGTATTCTACATTTTCTCTATTTTCTCCATCAAAGAATTCTCCCCTTTTTTTCTGTTCTTCCATTCCACCATCTGTTTTTTCTTGGGAGGTGCTTAGCATTTCTTTAACTATTCTACTTTACTTGGTTAAATATTTCACTTTTGAACTTGTCTCTGAGGCTCCGGAGATATCTCTTTATGTCTATTGGTGCCGTGTGAGATATTGCATGTTTTCTGTCCTCATTATCCTTTGCATTTACCTTTCCTGGATCAGTGTTCTCAGGATTGGGGACTGAGGAACCTTTCTTGTTGCTCCCTCTTCCCATACTTTTTGTTCCTTCCATACAAGCGTACATAGGAGGCCCAGTTTCCTTCTTTGTCAGTTACAGTTTGTTTGAATGGCGCCGGCTAGGTGTTCCCACCCACTGCAGTATGCTAGGGAGACTCAGACCTGGGCAGCCTATGCTGGGCCCACCCCTCCAGGTCAGTCAACCTGCTGAAGGCTTCACTGCGTTAGGGTGCACTGCCAGGTGCAGGGACCTGGTTTGGGCTAGCCTACTGGGTCTTAGTCTGTGGCATCACCCAGGTCAAGTGCTCCCCACTAATCCCACTTGAGAGGGGAATATGTGACTGAAGTCACTGCAGCGTTCTGTTCCAGCTAGTCTGCCCGGTCCCAGAATGTTCTCTGTTGGAGCCTCCTAGTCTATGGAAGGGTCCCCGTTCCTCTCACTCACTGCAGGTCAATGCAGGGCTCCCCACCAGCTCTGCTCTCAGTTCTGTTCACCGATTCCCCACTCTCAGAGCTTTTGCATCTCAATCCCTGCTGTGCCAATTTAGATGCAGCAGCGGCAGCAGGAAATTCAAGCCACAGTTTCCAGAGGCATGGGTTCCAGCTTCAGCATTGAGACTTTAGCTCTTCCAGTCGTAGCACCAGGATGCATTTCCAGTTGGTTTCTCTCTAGAACACTGATTTCTAAACCATTATTTTAAGATATTATCTTCCAATTGGTATCTCCCTGTAATTATGATTCTAATATTTGTTCACTTATTCATTTTATATTTTATGTTTAAATTCTATACAGTGACCAATAAATTATCATGGGAGCATTTCTTCCTTATCAGGAAATCTCTTCTGTGGCTTGCCCATAGTATTAAAAACTGCAAGTCGAAGAAATCTGGGCAGCTGGGTGTGGTGGCACACACCAGTAATCCCAGCACTCAGGAGGCGAGGCAGGAGTATTGCTGCAAGTTTGAGGCCGGCATGGCCTCCATAGTGAGTTCAAGGCCAGCCTCAACTACATAGAGAGGCCCTGTCTCAGCCTTTCCCCAAAATAAATAAAAATAAAAGAAAGAAATTTGGGTAGGTTCCTATAAGAAATAACTGACTTAGACCTTAAGAAAGAAAATGGAGTGACTACAAAGGATTGTAAAGGCTGAGAGGTTAAGGAAACCTAACTTCCGATCTGTGTTGAAGAAATTTAAAAATCAGAGCTCTGGAAATGTTAGGTGTTTGGTCTTAGGCATTTAAAGATAAAATGAAATGTCATAATGAGCATGAAATAGAAAGGAAACACTTGGGGAGAAGAAAGATTCAAGAGGCAAGGACTGGGTAGCACAGTGAGCTAAAAAACACGAGTGGGGCTCTCTGTTCTGCTCCTGTCTGCCATCAAGTGCGTGCTCTTGCCTCTCAATCAAACCATGTCTTTTCACAAGACTTGCAGAATCAGATGATTCTTGGCCAAGAGGCAAAAGCAGAATCGCTCCATTCCTCAATGGATTCGGATGAAGACCCATAATAAAATCAGGTACAACTCTGAGAGGAGGCGACACCGGAGAGGACCAAGCTGGGACTGTCAGGAATTGCATGAGAGCTGCAGCACATTTACCCATCGGAGGTCTCACGATGATACTTTACTGTATTCGAGATTATATCACCACATCAAACATAAGATATACCATGGCTGGACAGTTGAGAGATCTTTATCAGGAATCTTAATCTGTTTATGTGATGAACACTAATGAATCAACAATAAATATTTGAAACCTTTAAAAAAAAAAACCAGAGTGGGGAGGAGAGGGGCTGCAGCCTCACCCCCAGTGCAGGATGACCTGAAGTAGAGTCGAGAATGACAGAGCCGGTTTGCCGGAGGAGATGCACATGGAGTTTTGGCACAAAAATGTGGGCATGGAAAATGCTCACAAGGTTATAAAGAAAAGTCAAAAGCAGTGACTAGATTTGGTGAACTCAGTATAAGCATTTGCTAGTTAAAAAAAGGAAAAGAACTTCAGCTCAGTAATCCTGTAAGTTATCAATAAAGCAGTCAGAAGGTTGTGCTTCTTGGTCCCTTTGTTTCAGAGCTACTGAATTAGCTCCTTAGGGTTGTGCAGGGAGCCTGCCATTCTAGCTCACCTCTGGGTAAAAATACTGTTTTCCCAGCTCCATCCAGTTCAGAAACTTTAAGGTGCACCGTAAGCTTCAGGTAGCACACTCTCGATAGAGTATGTAGTGTTAGGAAATCCAGACTCCCAACCACCGGGACCCTAGAGCCAGCACTTCCAACTCGAGCAAGGCTCATTTCTTTCCTGATTCCCAAGGACTACCTCTCCCATAAGGTTGTATAAGGCTCTGTGTAAGCTTACAGGAACATTTGGCAGAGAGGCTCGGGATCATGCCTGAATAACTTGTAATTAATTAAAAGAATTAACGTGTGGATAGAGAAGTTCATGAGCAACTGCAGATGGCAAAAACAACAAAATGCTAAATTGAGTAATAAATATTAGGAAACATGATTTGTTCTTGGATTATGACCTTTCTTTCTTTCTTTCATGCATGTGTTGGGGGGGGAACATGTGATTATTTTAGCTAGAGAAGATACAGAAATAATGTTTGCTTGTTTACTTTATTTTAAAATTAGGAGACAGAAATATACAATTCACCTCTAAAAAATCAACCAGTTGACCGTGCATTTGTCTCTGAGCCTGCAACCATGAAGGAAGGCAGTGGCATACCGCCTCCCTGGAACGTTTCCGTGCTGGAGAATGAGCTCTTCCAAGGTAAGTCTCTGCATTACGACACCTTTGAAAAACTCCTGGTACTAATGCAAAACAAATAATTTGTATTGATATTAAAGTGCCCAAAATATATCAAGCCTTGTATTTTATTTTTGAAATTTTCTTGTTTATCTTATCTGAAAAAGATACTTTTGTATGCTGTTAATGTAAGTATTGAAGAACTTTATGGTTAAATGGAATCTAAGTAAATAGTCTCAGATCAGGAGCTGATAAACATATGGAATAATAATAATGTTTAATATTTAACTTCAGGTATAAAGGAGTACATCTTTAGGAAATAGGTCCATAAAGTTTGCTATGTTTTCGTTTTTGTTTTTTGAGATAAGGTCTCACTATATAGTTCAAGCTTGTTTTGACAACTCACTATGTAGCCCAGGCTGGCCTCAAATGTGTGGTCACCCTCCTACCTCAGTATTCTCAATATAAAATGATAATAGTGATAGCACTCTTACTATGACAATACTAATGAGTTAATATATTACATGCTTGGAACTGTGCCTCACATATAGAAATGTTGCATTATAGTAGTGCTAATGAGTCTTAATTTTTCCAGGAAAAATAGTCTACAGCCTATCATGTAATAACTGATTCATATTCTCCTTTAGTTTTAGACGATTTGGATAGCACACTGGCTCAGGAACAATCCGCAATCTCAGTGAATGCCAACATGCCCCACAACTACGGACCAAGAACTCAGTTCAGTCATTCTTACTCCACTGGGAGCAGGCATAGTAATATCACCGGAAGACATAAAAATCGCTATAATGAAACCTCCAATATGTCAATTTATGACATCCTGAGACCAGGAGCTCCTAGAGAAGGTTTTAAAACCTTTTTTCCTAGGACAAAGACAATTTATGATATGTACAGGACAAGAGAGCCCAGCGTCTTTAAAGAAGATGATGATGTGCTGAAGAACACTTTTGGCAGTGCGTCCTTGTGTTTCGACAGCAGGCCACAATCTGCCTCAGCAGCCAAGCATTTCACAGCAAGAAGCTTACACTTTCCAGCCACAACTCAGAGCAAGAGTAGGTTTATACGACCGAACTACCAGCAGAGCCCAAAGAGAACTCCGTTATCATCCATCATCTGGAATAGACCTGATTCCTCTACAGATAGGCAGAACCAGCAAGCGTTCCTGAGGACACCAGCACCCATGGAAACTGACCCTGTAGACCAGTGTGGAAACCCCAGGTATTATCAGGGAACTAGGAGATATGAACTGTACCATTCACAAAATGTTTACCAAAGCATCCACCTAAATGCCCCCATGGATAATGCAATGAGTCCTGACACTTTTGAGAACTCAGAGAATATGCCATTCTATCATCAAGACAACCCATTTGCTAGGTCTTTCTTTAGTAGTACCTTTAGACAAAGCAGAGAACAACAGTTTGGACAAAATTCTTTTTGGGGCCACCAGGAAGAACATTTTTCGTGGTCTGACTTTCACCAAGGCAGGAAACCATTTGTTTATTCTAACAGAGACTTTGAAATGATTTCCATTGAAGCAAATAGCACACCCGATGCTCGTGAACACAGTGACCCTCTTCAACACTGGGAGCCTTTTCCTCCTGCTTATGGGACACGTGTGTTCAGAGGCCAAGAAGAGCCACATCCCTGGCAGTCTGACTTCCACACACCCCCACTGGAGAGCATGGAGATACCAAACAGTAATGAAAACAAATCGACCCCTCATTTTGGTACACAAAATATTTACCCCAGGACTGGTCCACACTATGGCATCAAATCTGGTGGTTTAGAACACCAGCAAGATAGTTCTGCTGTAGAGGTACATGTCCCCAAAGACCCTTATTCATCAAGAGTTTCTCAGACTTTAGCAGTCTCATCCAAAACCTCCTTCCCTCAGATTCCTGATGTCAGAGGGAATCTTCAGAGTCCTTCCTCTCTAAAGTCCACAATCACTTTACAAAAAGTTATTCCCAATAAACCAGATGCCCTGTCAGTAGGAAGCCATACAGAAGTTACTGTGACCCATGGCAAGTCAACTGATCCTCCAGCTCCTGCTGAAACCCAGCTCACTAGGTTGGTCACAGAAATGAATAATGAGACGGAGTCAACTATATTTGTTTTAGAAGACAAACAGCAAAGCAAGATGGACCAGACAGCTGTGACAGGTGAAATGCCACAACCTAGTTCACAGACTGACAGACAGACAGATCCTTTTCCTGATTATCAAAATCCCCTTTCCCAGGAGCCAACCAAAAATGACAGGCTGAATTTTAATGCATCTACCACAGTTTGTTCAGAGGGGTCACCAAGAGGCTTTGCCAGGAAGGATGCCTCCAAAATGTGCATCTCATACAGAGATAAACCCAACAAACTTAAAAAAGATAGAAGTTCTCCTGGGAATCGAAAACTTGACTCAGCACCTTCCCTTCTTTTCACTCAAAAAAGCAGAATTGCACCATCTTTCCCCAACCCAGAGCAGAGTTGTGGCCAGGAATTAAAAGGAAGTAATGAAGATATTCCAGACATCATTAATAATAACCGCTGGCACTCTGAACCTCTGGACAGTCCAAACACAGAATTTCCAGAGGAACCTGCTAGTTCAGATCCTGAAGGAGTGCACAGTTCCACAGCTCCTGCTGCTGACTGCAACAAGCTCGTGGCGAGGCACAGTGTCTCCTGTGATTCTTTAGACCTCTCAGACGTACCACCAGACTCCTCACCATCCAGCGATGCTTCCCTTGATGCTTTGGTGATTCCTTCCACCGAAGTGTTCTCCAGGAAAAGCCCATCAGACAAAGAGCCATCTATGGGAGAAAGAGGAAACAAAGGCAGTGCTGGCAAGAACCAAAACAATCTGGCTGCTGTAAGCTTAGCAAACCCAAAGAGTCACGATAGTCATACGCCGGGAAACGATGCCGCATGTGATGTCAGCACAGGCCACTTCTACTCTCCTTTTAAAAGCAGAAGGGGAAAAGGAAAAATAAGACGTCGCATATCTTATATTGAAAAGTTAAGTAAAACGGAGAGCACACCAGGTTCCACAACAGAAGGCAGTAGCCTCATGGAGGAGAATCAAAGCAAATCCAAACCTTCTGAACTCAGCTCCACGTACTGTACCTTGCCAAGAAAGTCAGCCAGTTGTCTCATACATGGCAGGCAGCCAGGAAGTAAGATCACGGCTACTTCAGTTAGGAATGGGCCACCTCCATTCCAGACAAAAAATAATAGGGATGGTCCAGTTGGGAAGTACACATCCAGTGAATTCAGTCCCAGTTCTCCTGAGGCAATGCGTCAATGCTCCAAGGTTGTCTCAGATGCAGCCTTGGTGGCATCTAAAGCCACAGCAACAACGGCAGGCGTGAAAGTCATTAGACCTGCTTCTGTCAGGAAAGGACCTCTCCCGTTCCTCATTCAGAGAGCTATGTCATGTCCTTCAGAAGAGCTGTGTGCCTCACCTGGAAGAGAAGAATCACCGGTCCCTGACAGAGAAGTGTCTGCTGTGACACCAAGGCCCAGGGAAACTGTCATTCACCCCCTGGAAAGTCACTCGTCTATTAGAGGTGACCCTAAAGGATTTCCTCAAGAACACACTGAAAAAAATGATGAAATTTCTGCCTCTGGGACAAGTATATTTACTCTTTCAGATGAAGACCCTTCTTGGGCAGAAGTGTCAGAAAAAGAAAGTGGAAAAACATTACGTAAACTTAAGACTACTAGTACGTTTTCTGTGTCTGGCGATGAAGATAATGTAAAATGTCTAGAGGTGGTTTCCATATATTACACACTACCAAGGAAACCCAGCAAAAAATTCTGTGAGCTCCTTCAACAGTATATACAAAATACCAATTCACTTACAGAATCACTTCAAGCGGAGACCGAAACACTTTCTAATGCTTCAGTAGAAAACAAAGTAAATTATCCTCTACAAACACAGTCAGGAACATCTGCATCTGAGGATCTGAAAAGACCAGTCTGCTCCACTCAGCCCCACCTTTCTCCTGCCACCGACAGTGTGGCTGCCTTCCCACCACCAAACAGGGAGTCCTCAGGGCCGGCGTCACAGGAGATGGCTTGTGCTGGGGCAGACGTTTCTCTTCATAAAGGGGAATCTAAAACCAGAGTGATGTCTTCACATAACTTAGCTAATACACTTCCAGGGATTCCACAAAGCCAGAAAGAGACGGGAGAAACAGGGAAAAGTGAAACCCTGCGTACCTCATTCATGCTTCAGGATAAAAGTGCCACAGGTGAAAAATCGCAAGGTTGTCAGCAATCTGCTGATGCCGGAAACAGTGGCCTCTCTGGACTCACAGTCCATTCTGAAGATAATAATGAATCTTCTCAAACTGGAAAATGTTCTGGGGAGTGTGTAGCTAGTGGTACAGCCGTTGTATCTACTGAAAGGGGAAATTGGCCTCAGAAAGATCACACAGCCCAAGGTATAGATGACAGCTCCAGTGGATCGCAGCCCAGGGACATCAGAGAGAAGACTGGAAGAGAGTGCCAAACACTGACCGACAAAACTCTTTCTGACTCAGAAAGCCAAACTGTTGTTCTCGCTCCAGCACTGCATGAACTACAGTTTGTTGACAAGACTCAATCAAGAGAACCAGATTTTAAAAGTCTTCAGTCTGAATCCAGGCAATTACCTCAAGGAAGTCAGGAGGTAAATGTAACAGAGAGCCAGAAGGTCCAAGGTGGAATACAGATGTTGGCCCGGGATCAAAGTTTACGTGCTGGAGGAAATAATAAACATAATACCAACCTGAGAGATCTAGAAAAAGAAGAAAACACGTCTTCAATTACCAGATTGCCAACCAAATCTAAAGCCAGCAGGAAATTCCCAGCTAAGGATTTAAGCCCCCAAAGACCTGTAGCTACTATTTTCTCTAAAAGTGGGATCAAATCTGACTTTGGCCACTTATTTCCTGGCAGCCAAGAGTACAACTCACTGGCACCCGAGCCTGCTCCGGAGTCCACAGAACCCACAGAGGAAAGCAGTTTGGGTAATAATGGAGTGAATATGGAGGCTACTGAAATACCCAGCAGAGAAACTTATAGAAACTCCTGTAACCAGAAGTCTAACGGCATTTCAAAGCCACATCAGGATGAACTGAATAATGTCTCAGAATCACCACCAAAGCATGAGCATTTTAAAAGTGCAACAGTAGGTGAGGAAAGGGAGTCAGAAATCCCAGCCCAGTTCACATTCACCAGCCTCAGGGACGCCGGCTCCTCTGATCATCAGAGGCTAAGTCCTCCTTCTCCTTTGGCGCCTACACAGAAATCTCCAGTAAGTGTCTTACCATCCAGCTGTCAGCAGCAACAGGGGAGAGATTTGTCTCTGGAGTGGGAACCTGAGCCTCACCTGTATAGATCAAAGAGTTTGAAAAGTATCAATGTGCATAGTGATCTGCTGTGCAAAAGTCACCCTCCCAAAGTCAGGGGACGCCATTTTTCTGAAAGGACATCAACTGCCAGTGCTCTGAGTCAGCTGAGCCTTGCAGACGAACTCTCTCCCAGCAGCGGGCACAGTCGAAGATTCAAGTCTTTTTCTGAACTTCCTTACTGTGACGGAAATGAAAGCTGGACTTTGTATAGCAGCAAAGAGAAAACAGGCCCCAAGTCTGCATCCTCTATATCCAGACCGATTGACTATGGGATTTTTGGGAAAGAACAACAGCTGGCTTTCTTGGAGAACGTGAAGCGGTCACTCACACAAGGAAGATTGTGGAAGCCCAGTTTCCTTAAGAACCCTGGCTTTCTGAAAGATGATGTCGTTAGCTCTTCCAACCCTTCAGAGTCCTTAAGCTCGAATTCTGCTAGCAGGCAAGTGCCAGAAGATAGTTCAAGTCCAAATGAACCACTTAATATATATGAGGAGGACCCACTGGACTCTGATTGTGACACAGACACAACCACAGACAATGAATACTACCTGAATGAAAATGACAAAGAGTCGGAACTATGAGAATTTTTTAGAAAGGTGCACAATGCATTGCATTTTGCTTTTCATCAAAAGCTCCTTTGTATGTCCAGGGAAAGACAGATTTTAAAAGGTCCAGTCTAAGTAGCATTTGCACTGAAATAACTCATTTTTCTTCCATGACTTGTGTACCCACTTCCTGACTTCTAGGAACAATGATTTTTGTTTTTGAGGCGTTCTCTGCTGACTTCCTTCCCTTCATATTTGCTCTTGGTCTGGCTTCTCTCCTTCCTCAAATTTTACCTCAAGTCACGTGCCAATTTTCACTTTATTTTCCTCGACTTCTTTACATTCCTCAGTGTGTGATTTACATGTGTAAGTTTTGTTTTGTTTTTTAGTACCAGGAATCAAACTCGCGACCTTGCACTTGCCAAGCAGGCACGTAAGCCATGGAGCTAAATCCCCAGCCCCTACACATATAAATTTTAATTGTCCTGTACAGCTATGAAATTGTACTTGTCTATATCCTGCACTCAAAATATTAAACAAATGTAAGGACCATGACCTTAGTAAATATTATCCTGTTTGAGTCAATATTTAGGAAGTTTAATGGGATGTTTTTCTCTTTCTTTGTCTCTAAGGTAAAGGAATTTTCGGAGGCTATCCTGTTAATCCGTAGTGGAGCCTGGGCAGGGATTGGGGGAGTAACATTTAAAGAACATGTCAAGGTTACGGATGAGGGACTGAATCTCTGTTACTGCTCTTAAGAATTCCTCCTAGAGAGTGGGGATGCACTGAATATTAAGGGCTGAATTGTAATCAAACAAACCAAGTATCTAAGCCAGGCAAGCTGATGATACAGACTGTGTTTTGGCCATAGAATTTCTGCTCATAGAGTATAACTGGTGAGCAGAGATAAGCACATGTGTCTTCACGGAACTGACTTAGATTGCTGATGTTCTGTCTGTAACTGGTTTTCCCCACCGCCCCAGAGCTGTCCATTTCCCCAGTTCCCTTGAGGACCCTTCAGGTGGAGCATTTTGGTCACAATTATCAAGTGAGAACCTTGGTTTAGTCCTTAAAATGCCAAGTGTGATCTATTTCCAAGATTCACATGCTTCTCTGCTGGATCCTTTACCAAGCCCTCAGAAGTTCTGCTGTCTGTCACTAAGGTAAATCGCTGATTCCACTGCTAATCTGGCTTTACTAACTTTTGTTGCCACACAACATGTAGGCCTTCCTCTCAAAAGCAGTGCATGTTGCTAAAGATAATTTGCCAGAACTACAGAGCATGCAGTCTGGATCTCAATATATGATGACAGTCACGTGGCGGATCTTATCAGACAGTATTTGATGCATATTTACTTCCTGACATGGTGTTATTTTCTGCATTTCTCACCAACTCTGTTTCATCCATTTCCAAAGACAATGGTAGGTACTAGTAAAGCGTCTAGGGATCTAGTACTGACACAACTGCAAGAACTATGTTTATTATTGTCCTTTTAAACATTGACTTGCTAGAAGCAAAACACCAGGCTAGCTTACACTGTTCCTGTGAAACTCAAAACTAATGCGGGCGAGGTACGAACATGAAGCTATTCTTGAAATCTGTCAGCTCTTAACCTTGGAGCTCTGATCAATTTTGAGTTCCAAGACACTTGTAAATAAAATGTTCTAAACTTTTCAATGTAACTTTGTATGTCAGAGGATACATACATAACATTGTAGTCTCTGTAATGTATGTTTGTAAATTCTGCCTTTGTTTGCTATTTAATTATTTAAGTAAAATTTTCATACACTATGAGGTATGTTTTCTGTGTAATTTTAAGACATTCAAGGTTAACATTTTAGTATTAAGATTCTGCTTTTTTTAATGATCAACTTGCACATTCTGTTCATAAGTATTCTGAGTCTACATGATTGCTACAAAAGGTGAAATGAAGTTAGCCTATTTTCAGTGAGTTTTGGCCATATCAACAGTTAGGCAAATGAAGGTAAAAATGAACAGCTGCTTTGGTTCCTCTGCCCTGAAATCTACGGTGTTAATTCAAAGGTGATTGATAATCAATGCTTGTTTACATTATTTTTAAGGTTTGCTTGTTGATCTGGCTCAAGAATCAAGAAAAGGGAAAATTCATGAAGATAGCACCTTCTATAGTTTTATACTTTTATAAAGTACTTCATAAAAGAAGCATAGCAGGTTTCTATGTATTTTAACATACAAATGGCTGCTTTTTAATGTTCCTTTTTTGTATAGCTCTAGTAATTTATAAGTCATTTTGATATTCATGTTTTCTAAATGATATCATTATTAAAATAAATATTCATGTAAGTGGAGAAATATCACTAGGGAATCAACAGTATAGGCACCTAACGAATGGTTAACTTTAGATATTAGACTAATATAACCATAAATTCTGTACTGTTGAATACTACAGAATAGTGTTTAATGACATTATTTTCATTTTCAGAGACTTCCTACTAAATAATTTATCCTTACATTGTTAACATGATGACTTAGTAAACCCCTACTGCTGCAAAGTTTTGGCTAAGCGTAAAAAAAAATCTTTGTAGACCCTGGAGCTGAGAAAGGAAAGTCCTCTTAAATTATGATGTAAAGTGATAAGCAGATGAAAATTCTTCATAAATATCTTCCACTAACTGCTAGAGGGAAGATGACACCTTATTGCTAAGCATTTATTATTCATTACAATGCTTGAGAATGTCTAGTTTAAATGTACATGTAAATATGTAATGTTTTACTTTCCAAGCCACAGTGTGAAACTATCCAGCTTACTAGATCTTGGTGACTGGCAGTTCTGAAACAAGCCCTAGGCACTGTTGTTAGAAGTATCTTTTATGTAGCTCTCTAGGTATGAAATGTTACAGGGTCCAAATTTAAAACAATGCTTGAAATAAATTATTTAAACAGATGTTCTAGTTGACTGAATTGTTATTCGCATCCTCAAATTTTTAAGTATGAAAGTTCCAGGAAACATACAAAGAGCTAGGGCAAAAGTATTTGGACCAATTTTCTGTTGGATGAGATTTGCCATATAGATTTTTCCCCCAGTTTTTAAAAACACATAGTCTTTAACTCACTATGTTGTCTAGGCTGATTTGAACTCCTGGTGATGCTCCTGCCCCAACCTCCGAAGGGCTGGAATTACCAGTGTGCGCCATCACACCCAGCTCTTAAAAAACAAAAAAGTTGTGACTTGCTTCTCTCTTCTTTCCCTTGTACTCAAAAAGCAAAAATCCAATATCAGATGATGCGTCTGGTTGCACAGTAGAAGAGAGCCTGACATTTCTTTATAGGAATTCTCAGATTTATAGAGAAGAGGGGAACTAAGTGGAACTTGAGGTCATCAGTTGCCTGGTAGCACTGATAAAAGGTTAAACACATGTTTTTCTTTTCTTTTTTACAAAACATAACAATCAGAACAAAGCAGAGCAGAGGAAAACAATGTAAGTGACACCGGATTTCAGAGCAGGACAACAGGAGATCAATACTGGCTACCATAATGTCTCTTGTTTTCTTCTAAATAGTTGTCTATATCTTCACACACAATGAATTCATACAAAACAAAATAGTATAAAACTGATCAAAACAGAATAATGAAGGCATTACAGGTCTTCAAAACCAGACAATAGGAAAATCAATGGTTATCATAATGTCTTTTGTTGTCTTCAAAATAGCTGTCCATACCTTCATGAATGTTGAAATTAAATAATACAAAACAGACTAAAACCACTCTAAACAAAGAACAAAAAGCATTACTGGATTTCACAGCATGACAATAGGAAATCAGCAATGGACAGCAAAATGTCTCTTCCTTCAGAGTAGCTGTTCATATCATCACACATAATACAATCAATTCTTGTAAACTGTTTAGAAGTTCTAGGCCTGTATAAGCCTCTACATGTACGTGTATCCTTTCTGCATTAGAGAGAAAAACAAACAAAACCAAAAATTTCTAGAAAAACAAGAAACAAGGGGGCTGGGGATTTAGCTCAGCGGCATAACCACCTGCCTTGCGAGCAGGCGGTCGTGAGTTCGATCCTTGGTACCAATAAAAATGAAAAAGACAAAAAAAAAAAAAAAAAAAAAAAAAAACAAGACAAATAAATGACAATGGCAAAGAGCCCAAAACAATGACAATACAGGTCTTCAAAACAAGCTGGTAGGAACATAAGGTTTTTTTAACTAGTGATCTTCAAAAGAGTTCCTCAGATCACCAGACACAAACACACAAAATTGATCCAATCCTATTGTTAACTGTTTTGTTCCAAGAACTAATAGAATTTGTAGTACAATTATCTTAGCTATTAAGTGTGTTTATACACATTTAGATATTTTTTCTTTTCCCTTTTTTTTCTCCTTTTCCCTGAGATACTATTTTTCCCCTTTGAGCAGATTCTTACCCTTTCACAGTATTTATTGAGGACTTTGTATCTTCTGTACTTTTACCATTTCTTACACTAGGAAGACAATATGGTATTTACACATGTGAGTTTGATTTATTTCACTTATGAGTATGGTCTCAAGTTGCATCCATTTACCTATAAAAATCTCAGTGTGATCATTCTTTATAGCTGATTAGTACTCCGTTGTATTAAAAAAAAAACACACACTTTTTAAAAATCCATTCCTCGTTTGATGGGCACTTAGGTTGTTTCCAAGATCTGGCTATTACAAATTGTGCTTCTATAAACATGGGTGCACATACATCACTATCCTGGCCTGCAGGTAAGTCCACGGAGACCCTGGAGGGGGAGTGGGGATGAAAAGGAACAAGAGACGCAGGGAACGGAGTAAGACGAAGAAGTCCGATCAGATCAAGTCTCGTTTATTCAAGGAAGGAATATCAAATATATAGGGTATTGGGGAGGAGGGAGTTGGGTTCTGAGATGTTAGCAGGTAACTTAGCAACAGTGGCAAGACTGAGGGTTATCAATTCAAATTTCCCGGGAATGGGCTCCTAAAGCGGGCTGATTAACATAATCCCTGAATAGACCAAACAAGCTAGGTAGGCAAGGTGCTGCTTAACCTCCAAATTTAACTCCTAGAGGGAGTTAAGGTGGTGCGGCCTGCAGATAGAAGGTGGCAGCCAATTACAGGGCTTCCCACATAGCACTGTACTATGATGTTTTCAGTTCTTCTGGGACTATGCCTAAAGTGGAATGGCTAGGTCAAACGGGGCTTCCAATCTCCGCTTTTTGTGGAACCTCCAGACTGACCTCCACACTGGTTGTACCAGTCTAAACTCCCATCAACAGTGCAGAAGTAAACACATGTTTTTCAGTTGACTATAAGACATGAAATGTTAATTCCTGCTAAGTAAATTAAGTTTTTCACTAATCTGTCTCGTCTAGCCTGTCTGGTTTTTTGGGAGGTGGAGTTGGCTTTTTGAAACAGGGTTATGCTACGTAGTTCAGGCTAGCCTGGAACTTAGTATGTAGCCTAGGCTGACCTCAAATTCACAGTGATCCTCCTGCTCAGCCTCCTGAGTACTGGGTGTGTGCCAACGTTGGTTTTGTGTTTGCTTTTGTTCTTGCCTATGTAGCGTGAAGTGTGCTTACCTTTCCTGGAAAGGCAACACAAAGCCCTTTCTCCACCAAACACAAACCTTTCCTCCAGGTCATCATCTTGGATAATATTTTACTCAAAATATTTTTACCACCCTTTACTAAAATTTAAAGTTCATTGAATCAGCTAGACCTTGTGGTATATGAGAGATAACAGTATTTTTAATTGGTTTATATCTTAATCACTCTAATTAGCTGAGTCAGCTAGTGGACAGGAACACAAAGGCTGTAAAAGGCACACACCAGAGATAAGGTACCGGGTCAGAGGTAATTACTGAACAAGCTTTCCTGAACTATGGTCCTGAGAAGTCAAAGGCTATAAATAATTACCAGAAGAATACAAAGGGAAGAAGGGGCAAGAAGGGAAACCGGGTCAGCTAAGTTACGCTGCTGGGATGGACTGTGACCCAGGTCCACGGGGAGACGGGAGTAGGGGACTCAAGTCCCGCAGGACAGCACAGGGCTCCCGCTGGCACGTGGGCCATGGACACCACCGCTCCGGCAAGATGCGATGAAAGCGCCTCACTCTCGCTGCCCCTCAAGTCCAGTTTTGGGGGTCTGTACAACCACATGTTTTTCTTACATTGTGGAAGATAACAGGATCATCTTCAGATGTTTCAAATAGAAAAAATCCTTAACGGGCAGAAGTCACTCAGGTCCTCAGCAAGGGGTTCCACGGGTTTGGCCATGATGGTAGGAAAGAGGCCAGGCGCCCTGGGTAAGGGGGTGCCCTTATTCTCTGTCTCCTGCAGCTGCATCAAACAGAAAGAAAAATAAGATAGGACTACCATTTGGGAAGTCAACTTATCTAGGCCTATCTTACTTTCCTTAATAGTTTCATAATATTGTGTACATGAATACTCCATAATATAATCCGCCATTTCTTATTAAGTGTTCACTTTGCTTCTAACTTTTGCCCCAAACATGGTGGCAATAAAATTTTTATGTGCGAGGTTGTACGTACTAGAGTTTTTATTTCCTGAGGGATGACTTCCGGGACAGGTGAATGTGTGATACAGTGTGCTGGCCCATGTAACATCCTGATTTTGCATCTTTCTGGTTGTGATGGGGAAAAATCCCTTGGCAAGTCCAGTTCTGTGTCCTGAATCTAGGCTTTCCAGAGTCACACAGACTACAGTTGGAGATCAGAGCTCATGCAGAAATCAGTGTGGAAGGGAATGAGAGTCTTACCAAAGTATATTATTTATGTCAAGCTTTTACATAACTTTTTTTTTTTTTTTGGTCTTTTTCCTTTTTATCGGTGCCGGGGATCGAACTCACAACTGCCTGCTTGCAAGGCAGGCACTTATACCGCTGAGCTAAATCTCCAGCTCCTACATAACACTTCTATCTGGAGTGCTGGCCACCCTCTCTATGCAGCTGATTCCTATTTATCTTCATGGTTCAGCACAGATGTCTCCTCTTTTGGAAAGATACTCTTGCTTCCCCCAGGATTAGGTCAGCTGGCCTTCAAATGTAGTATACAGAATACTCCACTTATAATTAAAGGAGGCCCTGAACATCCCTGAACATTCTTGCTGAGTGCACCAAGAATGTCACTAGTAGCTCTTAACCCAGGCTGTTCTTAGAGTAATGCGTACAGCAAGCAAACCTGAGTCATAACACACACATTCACATGCACACAAACATGCATACACACACACCCATGCACGTGCACACGCGAACACACACACACACACACACACACACACACACACACACACATTAAGCGTAGTCCTATTTACTTTGAAAGGTAAATTTCCCAAGCTCAGTGTTCTCTTCTTGGAATGCAACCCACTTTAGGCCCTTTGCATTGCTTCTATAGTGTTTGGGAGGCACAGGAAACCAACAAAAAAAAAAGACCATAAAATTCTTGCTACTTGGGCTGGGGATTTAGTTCAGCGGCACAAGTTGTCTGCCTGGCCAGCGCTAGGTCCTGAGTTTGACCCCCAATACAAAAAAAAAAAAAAAAAAATTATTGCTACTGCTTTCATAGTGAACACTGAATAGTCTTTATCTCTGACTCATGAATCTTACATTTTTGTGACTTGTTTTTTTTTTTTTTTTTTTTTTTTGTCTTTGAGACAGTCTTGCTATGTAGTTCAGGCTGGCCTTAGGCTCACTTCGTAGCCGAAGCTGGTTTTGAATTTGCAATGATCCTCCTGCCTCAGCCTCCCGAGTACTGGGATTACAGAAGTGCACCACCACGCTCAGCTCTTGTTTTGTTTTTGAGACAGAGTCTTGCTATGTAGTTCAGACTGGTTCTTGAACTAACAGCAATCCTCCTGCCCCAGTCTCCCAAAGGCTAGGATGATAGGCAATTTACCACATCACCAGTAAAGATAAATTCTTAATCTAAACCATGTCCCAGCCCAAGCCTAGGAGGTCTTTAAAGAACATTTCCTAGGGGCTGGGGATTTAGCTCAGTGGCATAAGTGCCTGCCTTGTAAGCAGGCAGTTGTGAGTTCCATCCCTGGTTCCGATAAAAACAAAAAAGACCAAAAAAAAGAAAAAAAAATTTCCTTTCCTGATATTGGGCTGCAGGCTATGGCAGGGATGCAGTTTACCTTGTTCTGGAATTAGACTGATGCCATCAGAAGTGGGATTGTTTTGAGTTTGACATCTAACAAATGAGTATAAATGTATTTATTCATTGATATATTTCTGTAATTAATTGGCAGTGGCTGTGATTTTAGACTCCCCTTTGTCCCTAAGACCTGCTAACAAGGTTTAACAATAATATAGCAGGCATTGTCTAAAATGCTCATTGAATGCTGTGACCATAGCTCAGTGGTTGAGCTGGTACTGAGGCTCTATGTTCAAGTCCCAGCTTTTTTTTTTTTTTTTTTTACCGGTACCAGGGATCGAACTCACAACCACGTGCTTGCAAGGCAGGCACTTATACAGCTGAGCTAAATCTCCAGCCCTCAATTCCCAGCTTTAAAAAAAATGTTGAATGAATGAAATTTGATTGATAGAGAATCCCAAGGCATCTGTTGATCTGAATAGATATGCTCTTGAAGAATGGATTAAGATTTTTTAAAAAGCAAACTGAGACTCAGAATTGCTAAACAATAGGGTGTTCATATACCATTAAGTAGCTGCCTTGATTAGTCCTCAAAAAGAAAACAAACAACTTGGGTGTTGCCCTAAATTATGTAATTTATTAGGTCACCTTTTACTACCAAGAGCAGCTAACCCTCAGATTGTTTCTCTAAAAGAATATTTTACTGATTTTGAAAAAGTGTGAATGTGGGGCTGGAGATTTAGCTCAGCGGCATAAGCGCCTGCCTTGTAAGCAGGCAGTCGTGAGTTCGATCCCCGGTACGGATAAAAACGAAAAAAAAGACAAAAAAAAAAAAAAGGTGTGAATGAAATGAGTTCTGTACAACTTTTAAAGGTAATAATTGGAACAAAGCATGAAGACAACTGCAGAAAATAAAATGTATCAAGTAATACAAAGGTTAGCCCTAGAACGTGCCAGGGATTTACTACCAGTTCTTATCTTTCTGGGGTACAAAGAACACAGTCTATAACCACTGCTTAGCGTTGTAAAAACAGGTCACGTGAACTGGTGGAAATGCAGGAAAAGATTTGCACTGGTAAAATTTGGACAAAGTAAAACAGCTGAGTGAGCCAATGAAAATTTTGAGATGCACTGCGAACTGCCCCGCGCCGGGTTTTGAGCTTTTGAGATTGAGGGTGCAGAAACCCCGACTCCATTGTAGAGTGAGTTCCTTGGGCTCACTCAGCCTGTGGAGATTTTACTGTCTGTCTTTTTCAAAAATAGATTCAATGCTGGGATTACAAGCACGGTGATGCACGTCGTGGGAGGCTGAGGCAAGAGGGTCCCCTGCTAGTTCAAGACCAGCCTGGGCTACACAGTGAGTTCAAGGTGAGCCTGAACTGCATAGACACACTGTCTCAAAACAACATCATAATAATAAATATTAATAACACAATTGATAAATAAATTAATAATAATCAAGCCATAATCAGTAGAGAGGAAAATAGTAATTAACCCATGTGGGTAAAACGGTCAAGAGTGAAAGGTAGGACCATAGTTGCAGCCTGCTGGGAAGCCGGCTAGGCTCTTCCTGGACCCACTTCCAGCAGCTGAGCCCGGCAGAGGGCAGAACGCTGCTCCAGCTCCCCTGCAGTGGGAAGGCAGCCCAGGGCAAGGCAAGGGCTTGCCTCCCGCGGCCCGGGCCGCTCCTCACAGCAGGCGCCGGACACGCTCACGGGTGCTCAGAAAACACCAGCAGAAAGCGGGGCGCGAGGCGGGATGCGAAGAGGAGGAGCGGCGGGGAACGCACCCCGGGAGGAAGGCGGGGGTGGGGGGGTGAACCGAGGCCGGAGCCACCGCGCGGAGGGGAGGGGCGAGTCCGGCCCGGCTCCGCCCCTCGGAAATGCGAGACTCGGCAGCCGAAGCCCGAAGGGGCGGGGGCGGGGCCGAGTGGAAGGCGGGGCCGAGTAGAGGTAGGGCGGGCCTATGAGAAGGCGGGACGGGAAGAGGGCGGGGCCGGATGCCGCAGAGCCCCGCCCCGCGCAGGCGCGCTCGGCCCCCGGCCGCCGCCCCGCCGCTGCCATGCGCCCGCCGCTCGCGCTGCTCCTCCTGCTGCGGCTCGCGCCGCCTGTGGCCGCGGCGGCTGCAGAGGCGCCCGTGAGCGCGCGCCGCAGCCTGGTGTGGGGACCGGGTCTGCGGGCGGCCGTCGTCCTGCCCGTCCGCTATTTCTACCTGCAGGCGGTCAGCGCGCAGGGCCAGAACCTCACTCGCTCACCCCCAGGTAGCGTCGGGCCGCGAGCCCCGTCTCCCGCCGCCCGGGAAGCCGCCTGCGGCCCGCGGTCCTCCTGTGGGGCCCGGTGTAGGGAGGCAGTGACCGCCAAAGCCTGTTGGAACCGGGCGTGGTGGCGGTGCACGCTTGTAGTTTCAGCGCTCGGGAGGGTGAGGCCGCAGCCTGGGCTACGTGAAAGAGTTCGGAGGCCAGCCTGGACTGTCTCAAAACAATAATGGCTGTTGAATGGGTGCATAACTCCACGGACTCTCCGCGCCTAAAGTGCAGGGACCGATGTTTGGAGGCACCAGGGTGTAGGACGAGCGCCGCGTGAGTCATGGTTTGGAGGACGGTCCCTCCGCCTCGACCCAGATGCCTGAGGGTTAGGGCGGGCATCATCTCGGATTACAAGGATCTTGAAACCACTGACTCCTACACAAAGAACCTGTCTGGGCGTTGGGCAGAGGCAGTTTTGTGTGCTGTTTCCTTTTTTCTAGTTTTGAGACCTTGAAAGCAAGTTAAGGGGGTTACTGAAATTCAGTAGCAATCATTCGACTTCTCTCTACAGAGGATGGATCTTGTCCAGAATGTCTTTCTGATGGGTGTACCTCTCACGTTCACATGTCACCTTTGCAACATTTCAGTAACTTGTCCTGCTGGTTTTAAATTGTTGCCAGTCAGGATTTGCTAATTTATATCAAAAGTTAGGGCGTCTGCCAACTGACATCCTGTAAAGTCAACAAAGAAACAACCCAGGGTTTGGTCCTCGGGTCTGGAGGAAGTTCGGGGAGAGGAGTAATTGACCAAAAAGGGACTTTAAGGGTGTAATGTGAATTTAAATTTTCTTTTTAAATTCAACTCATGCAAGAAGTATTCATTTGCTGTTTATTTACTGTGGTTGGTAATCCTGCTGGTATAAATGGGTGCCAGCCCATCATGTAATTTACAGATTCGGAAGTAACAACGCCTCACTGTACTATATACTTGCTAGCATGAAGGAAGAATGCAGTAGAAACACTAAAAAGTTGTACTCATCTTGGGGACACCTAGGAAGATCTCAGGAGTAGAAATCCAAAGGATGCAAAAGTTTGCTTGCAGGGAAGCAGATGGCTTGTGCAGTTACCCAGAGGCAGAAGAACAGGGAGTTCAGGAAAATAAGAAATGTAGAGATGCTAAGCAAAAAGAGGAAGTCAGGTTGTAGCCAGAAATCTTCGAGGACCTTGAAAGCCAACCAAAGGAGTTTTGGAAATAAGGGAGAACCACTGAGGAATTCTCAGATGAGGCATGACAAAAATCTACCTCTTCTTTAACTACTTCAGTGACTTAGACAGATTCTCAGTATGTAGCCTAGACTGGCCTTGGACTCAAGATCCTACTGCCTCAGCTTCACAGAGTGCTGGGATTGCAGGCTTGTGTTAACCTGCACATTTCATCTTGTGCAGGTTGGGAACAAATCCGTAAGATGTTCCTGGAAAATAAATTTTCCATATGACTTGATCAAATGAGGTCAAAGATTTATGTGCAGGAATACTCCTGCCACACTAATTATTTATTATAATTATCATAGCCAATCATATGGTAACTGCTGAAGTATGGTGCATTCATGTAACGAAATGTTTGACAGCCTTTGAAAGTAACCGTTTAGCCAGGCATGGGATCCATGCCTGTAAACCCAGGACTTGGGAGGCTGAGGCAAGAGGATTGCTGGAGGTTCTAGGCCACCCTGAGCTATATAGTGAGTTTAAGACCTGGACTACATAGACCCTGTTTCAGAAACTAAAAGTTCCTTTTAGATTTCACTTATTTGTTTTCCAAGCAGTCGAGTTTATAGAGACAGTACAATAAAGGTTGTTAGGGAAGGAGGAAAACGGGTATAGAATTTCAGTTTTGCAGGGTGAAAATGGTCAGCAGAGCTCCTGTAGGACAGTGTGAATATGCTTAACACTCTGAACTGCACACATACATACATACTTAAAAATACAGCTCAGCAGTAAAACATTTGCTCAGCATATTCATGCTATGTTTGGTCCCCAGCAAGGGGGAGAGTGTTCGAATGGTAAACTTTATGTTACGTAGTTGTCTACTAGAATTTCAAGTATTTAAAATAATTAATATTTTAAAGGATTATTTAATGATGTTTACCTTAAATTAAGGGAACACTTTAATAGCTACACCATACAGCAACCTGCTATCATACAGGAAACCTGGTCCAGCTGCCCAAGATGCTTTACACAGCAGCAGCCAGTCAACAGCAAGGAGAACTGAATACTGCTCTCAGATTGGCTACTTGGAAACATCTGCCAAAAAAAATTGTAGAATATATTTACAGTGTCAGTGAAATTGCCAGGCTTTCTGAGAACAGTCAGTAAGCTCTAAAGAAAAATCCACAATTGACTGAGGCCTCAAACTCTGAACCTTGACTTCATGGAGTATATGGTATACAATTCAAACACTTGGTCACCATTTCTAATATTGTCATATTAAATTATTACCTTTTGTAGCATCCCTATGTGTTTTTATGATGGTTCATTTACTTGAGCAGATTTCTTTATAATCCTTTCAGTGGGTTTTTTTTTTTTATTATTATTACTATTTTCTTTTTTGGTACCAGGAACCAAACTCAGGGCCTTCTCTGAGCTACATTCCCAGCCTGATTTCTTTACAGTTTTTCCACACTTGTTTCAAAGATCCTAAAATGTATGAGTTTGGTATTTAATTACTTAATCGTAAGGTGTCAGATACTGCATCATTATAAGTAAATTGAAGAGACTCAGAAATATTTCTCTTGACCTACAAAAAAAATAAAACCGCTTGATCAACAGAATCTAATATCCACTGGGTTTTGAAACTAAGAATAAAATAAGTTCTTTTGGTAATTTAAAAAATACGTATCTAGGGGCTGGGGATTTAGCTCAGCAGCATAAGTGCCTGCCTTGCAAACACGCAGTTGTGAGTTTGATCCCTGGTACCGATAAAAACAAAAAAGAAAAAAAAAAGTATCTTCAATATGCTTAATGATGTTGGAGTTCTGCAAGCAAAGGGAAAATCCAGGGTCGCACACACTAAGGGTCAGCAAAATGGCTCCCGCCCGGCCAGCCTAAACAAACAGCTTTTATTGAGATAAAGAACAAAGAAACTCAAATTGTGCATGCTTAGATTACATAACTTGTTTGCTTCTTGTCCTTACAGGACTTCATGTTTTTACCTTGGGATGGGGGCAGTGTTGCAAGGCTTGCACTTTCTCGCCGTAACGTTGTTGGCCAGATGTGTCTGGGACAAAATGGAGTCAGTGTGGCCTCTGCATAATTTCATAATAAGATACATGTGAGACCAAAGACAACTGTAGTCACAGTTTGCAGTTTGCAGGCTGTGGCTTTGCGTGGACACAGCACTGTCCCAACTCCCTTTTGATATGGTGAGGTCAGTGGTGATGTGGTACTGTGAAGAAAGAGGCTCCATTGCTTACCTGTGCTATCATAATATTAATCAGCACAGTATTGTTTCAAAGTCTAAATCCACTAAAAAGAGAAATCTTGTTAAGTAGATGGACTTACCTGGAACAGAAAACTCACAGAATTTTGCAGTCAACAAGTTATTATAGTGTAACTGTCTCGCTTCAACTGAGGAAACAGGATCAGAAAAGTAAGCCCGAGTATTTACAGGGATGTGTCTGTCTGTGTGTGTGTGTCTTTATGTAAGGTGGGTGTGTGTTTGTGCATAGTGTAAGTAAGTACCTGTACTCTCTAAGGAAATGTGTTTAGCAGAAGTACTTGGAATTTGACCGGCGCAGCCCCAATGAAACAGGAGACGCTCTTGTGGGCAACAGTTAACTGCTGCTTTATTCACGCGGGCTCTGGTTTATATATTTGGCCGTGACCAATCACAGGCTGCCATGAGGAAGCAGGGCGGGAATGGGACGCAGGCTCCGGCTACCATATCCAGCTGTGGCCAATCAGGAGTTGCCACAGAGTACGGAGTGAGCACGAAGTGCGCACGGGTTGGCTAATTTAAAGAGGGACGTAGCGCATTGCAGAAGCTGGCGTGGTCCTTAGTCCCGGGTGGGGTATGGTATGTTGAGCGCCTGCGCCCAACATCTCCCCCTTTCTTTATAACTGACGCAAGGTCTCCAGAGGTCGGTGCCCCTCGTGAGGTGTCACGCTGCAGTCATGACAGTGCCTCACTACTCGTTGGTGCTCTTTTGGAGGGGGCGGGAGTATTGTTTTATGAGCCCAACCCGCATGCTCACCGACATGGGGACCGGGGTGTCTCCTGGCCAAGGACGACACCCCCTGTGATGCTTTGCTCCACACCTGCGTCACAGCATGGCGAGCCATGCTGCAGGGCTTTGACCAGATTCCATGATCAGCAATGCTTGTTTGATACTTTGTCCCTATTCCTTTGTCTGCGAATCCGACAGAGCAGAAGTAGACTGCCGAATGCGGCAAATGTAGCCATGGCAGCCAGAGCCCCTATTCCTGCCCATTCCTTTATGAAAGCCAATTGGAGAGTTGGCCCGAGCTGGATCACAGGAAACTCGTCTGGGTCCGTCATAACTAGAATCGGTACGAACTGGAGCACCTGCATAACAACAGCTGAAAGTGCACTGTTATCCCAACATTGTAACATATAACAGGTTGTGGTGGAGCAATTTAGAAAAGTCATATTTGTGGTGTTTATGGTGGCCAGGGAGAATCCCCATAATATCTCCTAGGAGTATCCATCCAGGGGGTCACAGGCGGTAAACTGGAGGACCCTTGCCCAGATAGGGGTGCAGAAGGATCCCCGGGGCCTCCGAGCTGGCGCGCCCTTAATCGCGGCGGGCTTGACTTGGGCCCCCTGCAAGATGCAGGTCGGGAGGTAGAGCTGTAGGTCTTATATGGGGTGGCCCTGGGATCCCATACTCGCTTTCATTGACCCATTTACTCTGAGAAATCTTGCGTTGCAGCTCATTTATGGCCTCAGAGTAGGGCCCTCTCGACTGCGTGTGTGTGACTTCCCCTCTTTCGGTGGTGTCTGCATCCGCCATTTTGTATACTTCTTCTTCCTCCCCCTCATTATCTGACGAGTCCTCTGTTTCTGGGTTGGGTGCGGTCGCCTCGCCTGTGGCACTAGGCTCGCGAGATTGCTCGCGGGAGGATTCTGCCTGATGGTAACCAAGCGCCATGGCGCCAGCCCTTATATGGTCACGACAAGAGGCGTCTGCGAGGCAGCTTCTCACCACTGCCCAAAGGGGTCTGACTCCTGGCTCCAGGAGGCCATTTTATGCTGCAAAGTCAAGATCTCTCCCTAATTTATCCCAGCTGGGGATGGTAACGGACCCCATGGGACCAAACCAAGGTGCTACCTTATCGACCTGATCGAGGAAGTTTTGAATTTGTTCTCGTTTCATTTGTAATCCCTTTTCTCTCAGTAAGTCGCCCAAAGTGACCGATAGCGGCTGAGTAGCGGTGTTACCCATGTTAACTGGAATTTCAAGAGTTTCTTTTTATTTTATTTTATTTTATTTTTTTCTTTTTCCTTTTTTTTTAAACAGGGACAGCTTAGTCCCCGTGCCCCTTTACGGCGCCCCCAAAACCTGCTTCTTTACAGCACCGGGAACTCTCTTTACGAGTTCCTTGACCCTTGCGACGCGTCCGCCCAAGGTTGCCTGATAGCCCCCGCCATCCGGCCCGGCAGCCCCTGCTGCCTGTTGCGTAGCCCCCGCTACCAACGTTGAGCAGTTTAACCTGTCAGCCCCCGCCCGCCGAGTAGCCCCCGCTATCGGCGCTTGACAGTTTTACCTGTTGACGTTCTGTTCCATCAGAGAGAGAGTCTCGTTCCCCGTACTGTCGGAGAGAGGGTCTCAGCGCTCCCCGTACGGGCCACCAGTTGACCGGCGCAGCCCCCCAATGAGACAGGAGACGCTCTTGTGGGCGACAGTTAACTGCTGCTTTATTTACGCGGGCTCTGGTTTATATATTTGGCCGTGACCAATCACAGGCTGCCACGAGGAAGCAGGGCGGGAATGGGACGCAGGCTCTGGCTACTATATCCAGCTGTGGCCAATCAGGAGTTGCCACAGAGTATGGAGTGAGCACGAAGTGCGCACGGGTTGGCTAATTTAAAGAGGGACGTAGCGCATTGCGGAAGCTGGCGTGGTCCTTAGTCCCGGGTGGGATATGGTATGTTGAGCGCCTGCGCCCAACAGGAATTTGGTTTAAAAAGAAAAATTTCCTTAGAAACGAGGGCTGTTTGGTGTTAAAGTGGTAAATAAAGAACACAAATAATTGACAAGGAAAAAATTGAATTGCCATACAAGTCTCATTCTTATAGTCCCTGGATTTTTTTTTTTTAACAACTGAAATATTTTTGTTTTCATTTTTTTGGTGCTGGGGATCAAACTCACTTGCCAGACAGGTGTTTATGCCACTGAGCTAAATCCCCAGGCCCAGGCCCTGGATTTTTAATTACCTAAGATTTATTACCATTTTAAGGAGAAAAGATCAAATAGGCAAAAGTTTGTTTCTTTGCCTTTCTTGTTAATCAGTTTTGTTCATTCAATAAATCTCTTTAGAATCATCAAATGTTAAGTCAGATCCTGGTTTGAAGACATGAGCCAGACGTGGTTCTTGACCTCTGAGGACCTTCCACGGTGAAATACTTGTCAATCATAGATACTGCAGGACAAAGCAATCCTATACAGAGACAGCTGTCGGATAATTAAGGCACAGTAATTGGAAGTGGTAGAGCTATTTGTGTTTCTTTCTCTTTCAGGTCAAACAGTATTCAAAGTAGTAGTCAAACCTCTGTCATCTAAAGAGGTAGCCCGGATTCATGTCCCTGCACCTTTGGACAGGAATGATGGGACATTTTTGGTGCGATACAGAATGTATGACACTGTCAACAAAGGGCTGAAGATAGACGTCCTTTATGGTGATGAACATGTGGCTCAGTCTCCCTATATTTTGAAAGGTAAGTGATTATTAATATATTAACAATCCAGAGCTGACCTTATATGTAGGTGTCATCTCTTCAGAATGGGTTGTCTTGACCCTGCAGTCACATTCAGCAGAGTAAACATTGCATATTTACTCCCTGATGTTCTAATTGAAATTCTAGGGAAATGAAAAATAATTTAAAGAGATTTAAATGAGGAGAAAAAGAGCATTTATCCATGTAGTTAACATTTTCAGCACTCTTTATTCCTTTGTGTAGATACATAGTTCTGTTTAGTACCTTTTACCGTCTATCTAGAGGATTTTCATTAATGGTATCAGCTAGAGTTCACCAGATAGATAAAGGATTCACCAGGTAGCCGTATAATGGCCACCTGCAGAGTCAGGTAGAGAAGAATGCAGAAGGGAAGCATGCACCCGGGAAGAAAGCCTGGGTGCTAGAGAGCTTAAGAGCAGTCCAAGATGGAAGTCCTGGAGCTCCCTGCAGAGTCCCGGGGGGGTCTGTGTCAGGAAGCCACGGATCCTGCCCTGCAGGGCTGAAGGGTGCTCCACACGCCTGGAGATGGACATCCGAGGGTGACGGCGAAGACGAGCTCATCCAGGAAAGGATGAGCTTTCTCTCCTTGCGCATCCCATGCAGGCTACAAGTCTGCTGGTGGCACCACTCACCCCGAGTGGGTCTTCCTTCTGCAGTGAGCCCATCGTCCCCCCAGAACTACCAGAGGCCACCCAGCTGGGGGTTTCTTTCTTCTTTCTTTCTGTGTTAGGGGTACGGATGATCACATCATCACGGGCAGTTTGTGCCTGTACATGGTGTAACTTCATTCTTTTTCCTCCCCCGTTCCCTTCCCCTCCCTCCAACCCCTCTCTGCTGGACGTTCCTTACTCCAGTTGTCACCACAGCTAAGTCTCACGTAACTTCTCTCTTAGACGAAAGTGCGGTTAGTAAATTGTTCCAGCTTTTGCATTTTTGAAAAAGTCTTTCTTCTGCTTTCCTTTTTGAAACACTTTTTGGCTATAGAATTGTAAGTTGATGGATCGTTTTCCTTTTGTTACTTCTAAAGAGGCCACTCCCCTGTCTGCTCACTTCCCACCAGAAGCAGATGCATCCTTGGCTTTGCTCTTCTGTACTGCTGTTAAGGTTTTGTCTTTAAGGTGTCTTTAATGGTGATAATGTGCACCGTCCGTGTGGGGAGCTGATTACCGTCACCCATGTTGATTCCTTTTTGTCCCCTTTCCCTTTGCTCCCTCCCTGCTCCATCCTCCTCTTGATTCCCTTCCTTTCTTTTTTGTACACTTCAGTTCATGATGTTTACCTTCCCCGTGTGCAGCTCATTCCTTGTCACTCCCCTCCCCGTCTTTCATCGCTTGATCCTCTGACCCTTGAAGAAAGTTTTTCCTCCCTACTTCCTAGTATCTATCTTTTATTTTACTCTTTATTAATACTTCTCACATAAGAGAAACCACGTGATAGTTAAACTTGTGTGTGTGATTTATTTGACTTAACTTTATGGTTGCAAGATGCATCTATTTTCCTACAAATGACTTGTTATTTTTTTTTTTGCACTTTATTTCATTTTTTTGGTTTTGTTTTAAAGAGGATAAAGGGGCTGGGGATTTAGCTCAGCGGCATAAGCGCCTGCCTTGCAAGCAGGCAGTCATGAGTTCGATCCCTGGTACTAGTAAAAGGGAAAAAGACGAAAAAAAAAAATAGGACTTTAAAACAAGACCACAGAGAATCAACAATGGCTGCAGCCCTCAGAAGGAGAGTCCCCCAGATGTCACACTGTGTACCACTAACCCCTAAACCTACGGTCAGGCCACTGGCCCGAGACCTGCAGTGTTGGTGAAACAGCAGAGCGCCACAGGCGTCCAGCTGCATCCACCTCCATAGCTACCATCACGGCTGTGTATCTCTGGATAAGCTGGCCGACAAAGGTGGGGGAGGGGGTCCGTACTTCTTGTTTGCCAGCCTGCATGCCAGAAGGGCCTGGGGTCTGTCTGTTCCAGTCCAGTGGTGGCCATTGCCCAGCACAGGTTCCCAGATGGGGCTTGCTTGCTGATGCGGCTTTGTTCTGTCTACCCCCAGTCTGCAAATGGCCAGGTGTGTCTTTCTTTATGGCAGTAGAGTTCTCCATTGTGTATAAATACTACATTGTTTTCATCCATTCATCTGTTGATGAACATGTAGGCCACTTCCAAGATTTAGCTATTATGAATTGCGCTGCTGTAAACAGGGATCTGCATGTACCACCGTAACACTGTGTCTTCAGCTCTGCTGATGAAAATGCCCCGAAGGGAGAAGCTGACTTACATGGAATTCCTAGTTGCAGTTTTTTGAGGCCTCTCCACACCGATTCCCCTCGTGCTTCCTTAGTTTCCATTCCCTCCGCCTGCAGTTACTACCATTGGTTATGTGGCTTCGTGCTGACAGCCACTCCCTCTGGGGTAAGGTAGAATCTCAGTGTTGTTTTAATTTGCAGTTCTCTAATTTCCATCAGCGTTGATCAGAAATTAGAGAACTGCAAATTAAAACAACACTTCATGGATTTCTTGGCTATTTATACTGTGTTTTGAACAGTTTGGTGGTTATGTTCCTTGGTGTTTTCTTCATGTTTTTTCTGGTCGGGTTTTTGAGTAGCTTCTTTATTCTTTAGTTTTCAACAAACTTAGGAAAAAATTGACCATTATTTCTTCAGACATTTTCCATTGTACCAAAGTCCCTCTTAATGATTTTGATTACTCATATTTTAGGCCTTTTTAAAATTCTTCCATTATGTTTGATTTCCACTGCTGTGTCTCTAAATTCACTAATGTTTTTTATTTCCTTCAGTGCCAACTTGTCATTAACACCATTTTATCTCTTGATGCTGTTGATGTTCTTAAGCTTTGTTTCCTAGGATGCAGCTGAGTTACTTGGAAACAGTTTTTCCTTTAGAGTTAGGCTGTGCCGTTTGTTAACTAGGATTATAGGCAGGCTCCCTCTGGGGCTGATTACTCCTCACTGTGGAGGCGTACTCTCTGCATACTCCCCTCATCCCAGGAGTGGCAGGCTTTTCAGTCTGGCTGGTATGAACAGGCACTATTCCAACTCTGTACGCAGTAGGTCCTCTTCCTCTAATCATCTTGAGTGATTCTCCCTCTGCTTTGGATAGTCTCACGCACTCATCATACACACTGCTACACACTCAGGCACCCTCCCGTGGATCTCTGGAGTTCTCCTGTAAAGGGATTTTTATAGTAAGGTAAATACAGATAGAACGCAAAGCAGTATATTACATTTTTTGTACTGGGACTCAAACTCATGACCTCACACTTGCCAGGCAGGTGTTTGTGCTGTTGAGCTATACTCTGGCCCCTAATATATTAAATTTATATAAAATCTTTCTAAATGAATCTTTAGAGATGTTATATGCTTATGGGTGACTGTTTAAAATAACATTGCCCAATTCCTTTGGGTTACACATTTCCTCTTTGAGATATGCTGATGGAGATGATTTTAGGAACTCAGAAGAGGAGACTTCCTCATCTTTGAAAGTCACTACTACAAAATTTTAATGCCTGGAAATGAATATGCTTTTTTTTCTTCTTACAAGGTAAGTTTTATGTGCACTGACCATGTAGACCTCACTACAAATGAATATCATCTAATTGACTGAGAGCAGGTCAGGTTAGGTTAGAAGAGACCACAAGCTATGCTAAGTTGTCCACAGTGACTTAAAAGGGGAAGATTGTCATGCCTGGTGGCATCCTCAGGTGTCTGAAGTAGGATCATGAGTTCAAGGCTAGGCAGCCAGGCCCGAGCTCAAGACCGGCCTGAACTGCATAGCAAGACGCTGTCTCAGAAAGCGGGGCTTGGGACAGAAAGTAGCATTGCAAGGCTGTGACTTGACTTGCACCTGATTTGTCTGGGGCAGTTTTTTCTGTGTGGCTAATCCTAGGATTTGCCGAGAAGTGAGCCTGTGTTCCCATCCGGGGCAGAAACAACACCCTGTGCTGCCGTGCTGACTGACACCTCGCCTTCCCTAGGCCCAGTGTTCCATGAGTACTGCGAGTGTCCAGAAGAGGATCCTCAGGCCTGGCAGGAAGCTCTTTCTTGTCCAACCTGGGAGCCCCAGATCGAAGAAGATTTTGCCTCCTTCCCCACCATCAACCTCCAGCAGATGCTAAGTGAAGTTCCCAAAAGATTTGGGGACGAGAGGGGTGCCATTGTTCATTACACAATTCTTAACAACCACATTTACCGGCGGTCTTTAGGGAAATACACAGACTTCAAAATGTTCTCTGATGAGATTTTGCTGTCGCTGGCAAGAAAGGTATGAAAATGAATAGATTGGTTTCCAAATACTATAATTTAATCATTTTGTTGTAAAATTTAAATGATTAGCATTATAAAAGCAGAGGATAGGGGCTGGGGGTTTAGCTCAGCGGCATGAGCGCCTGCCTTGCAAGCAGGCAGTCGTGAGTTCGATCCCCGGTACCAAGAAAAACGAAAAAGACCAAAAAAAAAAGCAGAGGATAAAGTGATTTTAGGCTTGGGTGTGTGCCACCTGAGTGTTCTAAGCTATTTCCCTCTAAGACTTTCTCCTGCCTGTAAGATTCAAACTAAAGGCTTGGGGGGGGGGGGAGGCCACACGGCACGGCCAGTTTCTGAGGACTCCCAGCTGTTTCTAGCCTTTGGGTCACTTCCTGAGGTTCTCAGTCCTGCAGGACTCCTTCACCTGCTGCAGCTGTGTCCTTCTCTTTCCTTCAGAGTGACTTCAGTTTGGACACATTCCTTGTATTGCCCCAGCCATCATGAGAAGAGAGTGCGTACGCACAGTCTGTTGAGGCTAGTGTGATAGAGATTAGTTTGGACCAGTGCGTTCTGAGAAACAACTTAGAAGTGCACACTGTGTGCTAGTGAGACTCCTCACTCGTCCTGTGTCGGGGAATTTCTCACTGGTGGCCCGATCTTCAGATCTTGGCCGCTTACTAACAGCAGTTGGGCCCCCTTTCTTCAGATCCTCCGTATTCCGCAGCAGCCATCTGTTATCCTGATATTCAGCCCCTCTTTCCATGTTTGTAGAGTACTGAATTCCTCTTCAGCAGAGCAATCCAAGCCATCTGTTCTTTCTTGTTCCTGATCATGTAGGATGCAAAGTAAAGGTACGCAGTTTTTGTCACTCCCACCTGAAGAGGCCGTTTTCTAAGCCGAAGCGCAGCCTCCCTGACACACAGCCTTCCCAGGTGCTGCAGGTGTGGCTGCCGTCACTTCTTACTTCAGTGGCAGTAGCTTCCCCCCACCCCCACCCCCCTGCGAGCACGTGAGCACATTGAGTGTTGGGTCCTAAATGCAGCAGTCTCTTCCTGGGCTGCAGCAGAATTATGCCTCGTCCCTGTGTCTTGTGTTTGTTACTGACTCTGTAACTCTATAGCAATAATTTTGTCTTTTTTTTTTCTTCTTTGGGTCTGGGTATTGAACCCAGGACCTTTGCACTGAGCTATCTCCCCACACCTTTTTTATTTTTTAACTTGAGACAGAGTCTTACTAAGTTGCATAGGCTGGGTTTGAACTTGTGATTCTTCCTCAGACTCCTGAGTGCTGGAATTACCAGCACACACCACCACGCTCTGCTTCTTCTACTGTTTTTGAATGGCCAGCTCTATCAGAAATATTTGGAAAGCCCAGAAATCGTAATATTAAGTACCAAAGACTGAGATCCTCCCAGCACTAATGTTTAGATTTGTGTTTACTTAGGTTCGTCTCCCAGATTTAGAATTTTATATTAATCTTGGCGATTGGCCCTTGGAACATCGAAAAATCAATGAAACCCCCAGCCCTGTACCTGTCATTTCCTGGTGTGGCTCTCTGGATTCAAGAGATGTGATCCTTCCAACATACGATGTCACCCACTCCACACTCGAAGCAATGAGGGGTGTTACGAATGATCTGCTTTCTATTCAGGGAAACACAGGTAAATTAAGGCTACTCTAAGAGTAACATTTGTAAAGAAGAAAAAAAGTGAAAACGTTCAGTCAAAGACAATAAATATTTAAATAGCTATTCTTAGTTTCTAACCAACAAAAAAGAGTAAAAGCACCCTTGACCCTGGGGATTTAGATCAGGAGTACATTGCTTTTCTACCATCAGAAAAAAAGAATAATTAATTGCCAAAGTATTTGTTTAGGATTCTAATCGAAAAATGAAAGACATATTGGCTAGGCTGACAGTGCCCAAGTCTACCTTTACTAAATCTTCTTTAAGTTGGTCATTTGTAAATACCTTTTCAAAATAATGTACTTGGTAAAGTCATCTCTAAATTCTGATTCAAAGGCCTTTATTGTGGTGAATAAAATGAGGATTCTGAAAAGTGTAAAAGTTTAGGCATACATAAGAGAATTTTGATAATAAAATAATTTATATTACACCCTGCAATATTTTGTAAAGAATTACTCCCTTTGCTTTTACTGCCTCTATGGATCCTTTAAAATTTAAATTGTTTCCCACTGCCTGATTTCCTTAGATTTATGGTAGAATATACCTTTTTTTTCAAACAAACTCCTTCAGTTGAACAAAATCTTGCCTTGCCTTTACAGCCGTTCTTTCTTTTTATTGTAGTTTAGTGAACTTTTTTTGGTAGACAACATCAGAGACTAGTAAAATTATCAAAAATAATGTAGCATAAAACTGACCAACTTTCAACAGTGAATTCCTAAAAATATATTAAAATAATAAAGACGTTGATCCCTTCCAGTTCTATATTTTATGATTTTTTTCTCTCAGAACTCAGGTGTTAAACAATGACTTCTCTGTTTAGAATAAAAGTAATAGATGTATATTAATTCTTCCAGGATATTCCCCTCCCTAAAGAGAGGATATAAATAATGTGCATATAGTTGATTTATATATTTGCATCAACAGCATATTAGAAAAAAATGGTTTTCCCTGTGTTCAAAATTCTAAGCAGCCTGAATATTAAAGATTGGTGGTTGTTACTTGATTATACAGTTCTTTTCTGGTCATTTTGTGTAAGAACAAAAATCTAGGTCATTTTTATTGTGAAACAGAGATAGAAGAAGCTATTGCCAGGTCAGTGGGCCAATCGTTGAGTCTCTTTTTGCTTTGCATTTGGCCCAGTATTATTTTGGGTATTTCCTACTCTTACGCAACAGAAAACAATACTTGTGTGAATGCACATTAATAGACAAATGGGTGGAACTGAACGCAGCACATTAGAAGTATTTTTAAAAGTACAAACTTAAAAGCATCTCTGAAAAATTAAGCCTTGATCCCTTTTAGAAAAAGCATCTACTTTCCTAGATGAATTGATAAAATCATTAATTTCTTAACCAACAATGGCAAAATAAGAAAATAATACTTACCATATAGAAATGTCAAATTCGTAATCATAATTTTTATGGCCTCAAACTTCTAGGGCCTTCCTGGATCAATAAAACAGAGAAAGCTTTCTTCAGAGGTAGAGATAGTCGGGAAGAGAGGCTGCAGTTGGTACAGCTGTCCCAAGAAAACCCACAGCTGCTAGATGCAGGAATTACAGGCTATTTCTTTTTCCAAGAGAAAGAAAAGGAGCTTGGAAAAGCCAAGTTAATGGGCTTTTTTGATTTCTTTAAGGTATGTGTTTGAGCCTCCTCTGTGACTGTGAAGTGTAAATGTCTACCAAGCAGATGCACTTAGCAGCTTTCTTCTGTCCTCTGAACTGACAGGCACTGTCACACCTCTCATTAGACAGAGAATCACAGAGTCCTGTGCTGCCTTTTGTCATTGTTACTGACTTTGTCCATCAACTCTCTGAGAGCTATTATATGTTTAATGGTAAAAATACAGCCATTGTAGCTATATCACACAGCAGCCAGGGTGGAATCCGCATGCTGCCGCCAGTCCCGCCCGGCCACAACCCAGGGACTTTGGTCCCGCAGGGCCTCTGTGCTGGCCCTTGTTCCTCCCCACCATCGCCGTGAGGCCCAGAGAGGCAGATGTAAGTTATACACAACGTCTGCCTGGCTAGAAGACGCCTTCACACCAGCGATTTAAGAACCAAGGGGCTGGGCACCTAGCTCACTGGCAGAGTGCCTAAATTAAAGTGTACATTTTTATCAGTATTCAACTTTAACAAACAGGACTTTTGAAAATAGTTTTAATAGCTAATTACACAAATCTAGATTTCCATTTACTAACATTATCATCTTTAAATGCGTTGTATTTCTTAAAACTGATCTGCTATAGGCTGCTTATGATTTTAATACAGAGAAAAGTAAGTTGCAAAATAAAACTTTTAAACATGGAATTTGAAAAAAGAGACACAACTCCTCCCGTTTATTATTACAGTGTTAAAGAGAGGCAGGTGTGAAACAGATGATGACGAGGTCTTTGGTTATGTTTTCTGTTTTGGTCTTTCAGTACAAGTACCAAGTGAACGTGGATGGGACTGTGGCTGCGTATCGGTTTCCGTACCTCATGCTGGGTGACAGCTTGGTGCTGAAGCAGGATTCTCCATACTATGAACATTTCTACACCACACTGAGGCCTTGGAAACACTATGTTCCAGTTAACAGGAATCTTAGTGACTTACTAGAGAAAGTTAAATGGGCCAAAGTAAGTTCTCTGCAGTGTCATTTCTTCAGGCACCAGCAGTTTCATCGGGATTGGGGCCTGCATTTTGTCACAACACAGTTGAACTAACATAATGAGATCAAAGAAATGTGAGTTTCTGGAATTTTTGTTCTCGTGAGATATCTCAAGAATCAACATCAGGGCCAGTGATACAGCTCAGCAGCACAGCGCCTGCCTGGCAAGCACAAGGTCCTGAGTTCAACTCCCAGTGCACACACAAAAAACACATCAGAATCATGTTGTGTGTCCTCTGTCGACATTGTTTGAAGACTTTTGGACTTTATGTCCAGAGTTACACAGAATATAGGTTTTCTGAATGAATCACTATTTGTGCTTACATGGACAAAAAAGTTCACACAAATGCAAATCGCATATTGAAAAGGCCAGAGAGAGGACTTTATGGATAACAAAACGTTTAAAGTGATTATGGTAGTCGTGTTTTACTCACATAGATGAAAGGCACAAGTTCTTAACCAAGCACACTTTACAATAGCCAAGAATTACATGTTTCCCATAAGGTAGGAATCAGTTTCCCAAAAGGAGCGGCATTTAAAAGCTTTCATTGTTTCATTACAAAACTGTAAAAGTTCACTGTTCTGCTGTAAGACTGTTCTAGTTCTGGGTATCCAAGAAGCAGTATTGGGTTGGGAAATAACTCAGCCGTGTCTAGGAAAGTACTCTTCCCATAGCTGTGTTACTAAGTTATATCCCCATATGTTCCAGCTGTCCTATGATACTCACAGCCAACCCTACAGCTGTCCCACCTCACGCTTGCCCCTAACTTTTTTGTGGACTACAGAAGAAATTTTCATTCATTTTTTAAAACCCTTTAGGAAAATGATGAAGAAGCCAAGAAGATTGCAAAAGAAGGACAGCTGGCTGCTAGAGACCTGCTACAGCCACACAGGCTCTACTGCTACTATTACCGAGCCCTGCAGGTCAGTTCAGTGTCCATCTTGCCACGCCTGCGGTCCTCAGATCGTATGCACAGCCCAGTATCTTAGGTCCCTTCCTCCTGAACAAGTCGGCCTGCGGAACTGCGTCAGCGGAGGCCTCTTCACGGGAGGAAAGACCAGTGCTCAGTCCCTCTATGGCCACCACATTTTAACCTCTGTTCATTATGAGGAATAGCTTGGTGCCTGTGCAAATACAGATTAGCATTTCCTCTCATTTTCCCAGAGTTCTCTGTAATTATATGCCCTGTGGAACTCCTAGTTCAGGCGTTCTTGATTCTTAGAAAGCTTCTTTCTCATCTAGGAAACAAGTAGGTTGGAGTAGAGGTCGCTGATTTCTGTCTCTGCTCATATCATTACCTCCTTGTTCTCCTTTCTACTTAAAATCCACGCGTTCGTCATCACAGTACAGGGCACAAAACAGATGCTTAGCTTACTATAATAAACAAGCAAATCAAAAACGCTTATGGTGGTCCTGAATTCCGACCTACCAATGTTTCCTGGGAATCAGAGGGTGAGTCCTTTGAGTAAGTGCCCCTGCTTCTTCAGTAAAATCTTCCCAGGAAGACAAGAAGTGAAGTCATTTTTAGCCTACAATTATATTCCTATTGCTAGAGTGAAAGTAAATTTCCTTGTGTGCCTGTGGGCACTGCCCTGTCAGAAGACTGACGGTGATACGTTACACCATTTATAGAAGTGGCCCTTCCTTTTTTTAAGTAAGTCCTGTCCTCTCTCCTGGCTTAGCTTTAATTTTAATAGTAGGCTTTCTTCCCCTAAAATATTAATTAGGCTGTTGTGCTCATGTCACCATTTTGTTGGGCTGGGCCCAATACTAGGAATGCCAGTTAATTTGGACACAGAACCACTGAAGTGAAATATCTAACTAATAGGGATATTTCAGTCAGCAACCAGAAGAGAAGGACATTTTACAGTCATGTTACCATTTAATAAATAGAAGTGACTCTGCTCCATAAGGGCAGAAAGTGTGCTGCTACAGCTTTAGCTTGAAATGCTTGTCAGTACCAACAGTTTATTACTGTTAACAACGCCGAGATCTGCTATTTGTTTCAAGTAGGGGCATTTGACTTGGCATCTCTTGGTAGAGTCTTCTGAGTTGCTCCTAAAATTGTGGATTTAGGGTCCTTGCTAGAGAGCAGGGTAAGGTGGCAGTATCAATAGAAATTAAGTGTGGACTAACCTTACATTTTTGCCTTAAAACACATTTCAGCAATATGCCGAACGCCAGTCCAGCAAACCTGAGCTACGTGATGGAATGGAACGTGTTCCTCAGCCCGATGACACCTCCACCTGCCAGTGCCACAGGAAGGGGCCTTTGAAGGAAGAGCTTTAAGGCCACCCAAACTCACACTCCTCTGTATCCAGCTGCATCTGTGAGGGAGGACTTCAAATAGACGCTAAGATGCAAAGGAAGTACAGGAGACTTCACCCAGTGGGCCACTTCTGCTGGTGGCTTTATATAATGTGGCCCAATATAGCAATATTTGAGCAAGTATTACCAGGTTATCTTTGGATATTAACTTCTTTCAAGTAAAAACTGCTACTTACTGTCAGCATCAAAATTTCTCTGAAAGGGATATTTGCAGATCATAGAAGATAGAAGCTTGCCACAATATGTCTCCCTGTGCTTCTCTATTCACTGGCTTATTTCTGTGTCGTTTACTTTCTCTCTTCTTCCAATAACGAAGAGAAAACTTTTGTTTCCTCCTCACTGTGGCCTCTCTCGCAAGCTGCTTTTGGCATTCAGTAATAGCAGCTTCTTGGAAAGTCTGATAAGAATAGTTACGGTGGAAACTATAGAGGAACTAGTTTTCTAAAGTACTGCTCATGTATTATTAGCTAATTTTTGAGATAAAAATTAAAAAGAAGCATGGCACTGCATACTTGTAATTTTCCCAGCGCTCGAGAGGCTAAGACAGAAAAATCACCATGAGTTTGAGGTCAGTCTGGGCTACACAGTAAGTTCAACACCAATCTGAAGGACACAGGGAGACCCTGTCTCAAAACAGCAGCAACAGAGGAGAGACTGTGCCTTAAACTGGTTATTCGCAGTCCGTCTGGGTTGTACACCCACTATCAACAACAGTTATTTGTGTAGGTAAAAGCATCTTATAGGCATCTTTCATTATCTGTATACTAACTGGGTAAAGGGTAACTATTGTCAAGTGTAAGTCTGTTTTTAAACATAAAAACAATCCTGGAAAACATCTACAATAAGCTTCAGGAACCCTGACGTCCTGGGATTTACTAATAAGCTGACAAGAGAGGCAAGCGCATAGCCTCACGGTACCCGTCACCTGCTTCAGCGGATTTCATTGCCAAGATAAAGACTTTGGAAATTGCCTCTGCCTTTTCGACAGGGTCAGGACATAGTACTCACAGCCCAGAAAGTCATTACACCTTCCTTGTAGTTCTGTCAGTCCAAGATTTAGTTTGTAACAGAACATGCTCTAACAACATGCTAGCCACACTGCTATTGCAGAAGTATTTACTCCCATAATTGAAACGTTTTAATATAAAAATAGTGTAACATTGTAAACCAAGTTTAGACTAAAAACAAAAACAGAATTTCTTATTTCTTTTCTTCCTGGTAAGATTTTCCTGAAGAAAACACAAGGTAGTTCCTCAAAAGGACCAATCCCCTGATTCCAGGAAACATTTCAGTTCCGGATTCAGCCCTAAGATGTTAGAAGTATTATAAATATTTTTTACTGTTTTATACAGCTAACTAAATTTATCTTCACTCTTTTTGAAGAGAAATAACCCAGCCTTTTTTTCAGTAGACAAAAACAAAACTAAATTTCAGGACAATATAATCAAAACCAGGTATCTAAAGCAAATTTGAACACCCACTAATTGTTTAAAAGTGTACAAGTGTAAATGAAAGGGCAAGCCGTCCTGAGTCCGTACTCTGAGGAATGGCCTCGTACATCGATTATCCTCATGGCTGGGCTTGTCAAAACTGGAATTAAGGAGAAGAGCTTGCTTTCTTCCTTCTGCCCTCCCACACACGAGGTGCTGACGGCTAGTAGTGTTTGTTAGAAACACTTCAAATTATAAAAGTTGATGTTAGCTGCTTCCAATGGTCCTCGTACTTAAAAGGAAGCTGACGACATTCAGAAAGCTTCAAGGAGTGGAACAGGAAGGATGTGCCTGAGAAATAAAAAGGAGCCTCTCAAGATATTCGCAGGGAGTGAGCGGCCTCACCTAGAATATAACCCTCCGCCCACCAGACTGACTGCGCGGTTTCAGGAGAGTTAGTTCCCACGGCTGTGTGTTGACTCAAACAGAACCAAGTAGAAATGCAATTACTAAAACCTCAGTTCTTTACCCTTTCAGTTAACACACTACCCACCTAGTCCATTAGCCATTTTTAATACTGCAGCTTCCATATAAAAATCTGAATTTTAAAAGGAGAGAGAAGTGTAAGGATATACAAGTAAATATAAGAACCTGTTTAAATAAGCTGTCAGCATGTTTGTTTATGCGTTAATACAGAAACACCCTAAGTGGTCACTATTAGAGAATTAGCTAAATGCATCCTTGATGCATCCTTGATGCATCCTTGATGCATCCTTTGCTTGATGCATCAAGGCATCAAGCAAAACCATTAAAGAGAATGAAAAAGCTTTAATTATACAATCATGACAATGATTCAATGAAAAACAATTTATAGAAACATACCGTGAAACAATTTACATAAAAAAGAGAATGGTGCAAAGTTTGGAAGGAAAGCCAGTGTGAGGAGGGATGGAGAGAAGAAAATTGGGGTTTCTTGCTTTAAAAAAAAAAAAAATCTCAGGGGCTGGGGATTTAGCTCAGTGACATAAGCACCGGCCTTGCAAGCAGGTGGTCGTGAGTTCGATCCCCAGAACCGATTTTTTTAAAAAAATCTCTTGGGTCAGAGATTTAGCTCAGCGGTGTAAGCACCAGCTGGGCAAATGCATGGTCGAGAGTTTGATCCCGTACCAAAAAAAAAACTCTTTGCTTTATATCTTTTTATAATATTTAAATTTTTTCTTACAAATATGAATCAAATTATAAAGAAAAATGCCACCTGGGAAAGACAGTAAATGCACAAAAGACAAATAGTAAAAGAAAATAGATAATTGTGTTTTCCATTATGCTACTTTAGAATATTATGTCATGAACATGTTATATATGCTTTTTAAATAAAGTAAATTTTCTATATAAAATCTTGAAAAATATATTTTGTTCTTTTAAAGAGATTGTTACCGCTTGAAACTGATCTTATTGTAATGCTGACCTCATGAATAAATGAACCTAAAGTTGTTACCATCACCCATCCCTAATAGACAGAAATACAGTGTTAGACAAAATATGTCTGGGTTAGACACCATTATTTTTAGTTTATTGTGAAAATGTAAAAAAAGTAGAGAGCAAATGGTTCTCTGGGTTAATAAAACCTCAGTGATTAGAACTATGAAGTTCTTGTTTTGAAGGAAAGTAAATCATCTTTGTAGTGTGAGGTATGTCTGACTTCAAGGAGTTGAGAAAATTAGACTGTATGGGGCCAGGGATTTAGCTCACTGGCATAAGCACCTGCCTGGCAAGCTCGAGGTCATGAGTTTGATCCTCTATACAAAACAAAACAAAAAATGTGCAGTAAAAATTACTCTTTCATGCACAGCATCAGATTTTCCCTTTCCAGCTACCGTACCCATCGTAGTCCAGCCCCTTGTGCACACCGTGCTAAATTTCTTCTAAGCCAGATCTTCTGTGTAGAGTTCTATGGGAGGAGGAACCACTAACTTTAAGCTGAAACCTTACATTGCAACATTTCTCAGATGCACGGAAAGTGTCCGGTTTGCTTTTAGGAATAATTAGCTAATCCTGGAATTGGTTAGCTGTCAGGATGGTGGAGGAGGAGGTGGTACACATACATAAGATGGCCAGAAATGGGGGAACAAGGGGGGAAGAGTTAGAAAAAATACGCAGTATTTTTGAAGATACCTGTTCTTTTTCATCCAGCACTGCATATGGGTTGAGTGTACATTACAAATGCTTGGGTTCATAACCATTTCTGATTTTGGAGTTTCTCACATTTTGAAACATTTGTATAGATGTTGCCCATTGAGTATCCCTAGTCTGAAATACCAAATGCCCCTAAGTAAAATGTTTTTGTCATTATGTTAGTGCTAAAAAGTTGCAGTTTTGGAGCATTTTGGAACATTTGGATTAGGGATAATCAGCCTGTAACTCAATACAATTCTCATGCTAATCAATCATCCACAAGCATCAGACTCCACAGGCTTGGCAAGGCAGACCTTCCTGAGCAGCAAGTGAGTCCCCACACCACCTACTCTTCTCAGCAAATGGCTAAAAATGAGCCTGCTTCCCAGGTTTGCTGACTCACCAGAATAACTCACAAAACTCAGGAAGCCGGTAGGATGCTCCTCAAGTCCAGTGATGTTAATGTCCTGACAAACTCACTGTAAGAATGAATACATCCAGCATGTTAAATATCATCGCCTAGTAACATACTACATTGCACAGTGTTAGTTCTCCTTGTGACTATGACTGATTGGGAACTGTGGCTTGCTGCCACTGCTTTGTATCGGGACAGAGTAGCATGGAGATATCACTAACCCAGGAAGAGATCAAAATCAGAGGATGAATTTCAGCCATATTGCTTTCACACCATCTTGAAGTACAAAAGTTGTACATCGACCCATCATAAGTTGGGGACCATCATGCTATTTACAGTTTTGTAATACAAAATGCATGCAGGTTAAGGTCTAGAAGAAAGTGTAGGAAAAAAAGTGTAGAACTCCACACCCTCTTTGGAAGTCAAGATTTGACAGTCTCATAGTACATTAGTACCTTTACCCGTGGAGAAACTCTTCTGAGGTTTTAAGGGTCTCATTTTATAGGTATGATTGATGAAATCATTGGCCATATGACTGAACTCAGTCTCCAGCCCTGCCTCCTCCTGGAGTGTAGGCTCTTAAAAGTCCCACCCCACTAATCATGTACTTGGGCTTTCTCTTGATCATTCCTCATTCTGAAGCTATCTAGGGACCTGCCATTGTACCTCATTAACACCATAGACACTTCTTTCACTTAAGAAATTTTAAGGGTTTTTGAAACACTATACTAGGGACAGAAACAGAAACCAGATATATTCTTTAACATCCCAAGGGCCTGGGAACTGAGGACCATCTAGTCATGAGGTTTAGTGAAAGGACATGAGGTAGCAATATCACCCCAACTGTAAAAGGTTGGAGACAAATACCTCATCCTTTCAGTACAGCTGTACATTATCCCATCTAATTTACAGGGCTTACTGTAGAAGCCCTTACTACATTCTTTCTTAAATAGGAAGAGGATAAGACTTCTTTTATGGTTTCCAAGGGTTTTTATTCACTTTTATTGTAAAGTAGGGGCAGCTAGAAGTACCATGCTTCCAATAGTAATCAGCCAGCTAGAAGAAGGTGAAAACTGTTTCCCCTACATACTTCATGTGACTTTCATGTCTCCAAAAAATTAGTGAGACCCACCACTGCCTGCATCAATAGTATCACTAGCACTGCAGTCATGGAACAGAAGATGACGAAACTGTCCCACTGGCAGAATCTAACAAATCTAAGGAAAACTGTTTGTCTCCTACTCCGTGTTTTTAGCATTTACCATTTAGATGATCACCAGGCGGCTGCCTGATTTGTAGTAGTTTGGGATAGGGAGACTTGCAAAAGGAAGAACAGTATAAAAGGTTCATGCTGCCCTCACAAAAGGTTTCTGTTCTTTCTGTTAAATAAAAGGTATAGGTGATCATGGATTTGGATACCTACACTGGGCCCCACATGTAACTGAGACGGTAAATGGATCTTTAAAATTAGGATCCTTTCTTTTAGAAATAAGTGGTTTCTCCAACTTCCTTGTGCTTAGAGTGTAAGCCATCACTCCCTCATCTCCTCAGATCAGATGAATGCACAGAGAAATGCCCTGTGTCAGAAGGGAAACTCTCATTATGGGAAGAACATGTAGATTCTGGCCCCAGAGGGTTGTTTCCTCACTGGGTGGCAGAAAATGGGGCGGGGGGGGGGATTTCCTTGTCTACTGTCTTATTCCTTCCCTTTCTCCTCCCACTAAAATCACTTACACACCTGAAACAAAGATTTGAGTCAAAGACCTCTTTGTCTCCTCCTGTTTAACTCAGTCAGGAAGGGGCTGTAAAATCCCTAAATGGTAAGCCTTCCCACCATGGGGTTCTGAACCACTAATGGTAGGAGAATTGTCCCTTCAGGTAGTGCAAACTCCCCGGTGGGACACTTATACCTGAACCACCAATGGTTCTACAGGAACTGTTAATAGCAGTAACTAAGTTTGACTGGGTGTAAAAGGCCCTGTAGCCAGTTAACTGATTGCATTGTAAACCATTAGCTAGTTAACCTGAAACTAGAGTTAATTGGCCAGCTAGTCTTTTGCAAATTAAGTTGTTTTCTAGGCTCATTTCTATAAATGCTCTTGGACTGTAGTGCTGAAGTTCTCAGAGTTTGCTTTGGTCCTGGGAACTGCCTGATTTCTGAATAGTTTTGTTGCATTTTGTTTGAATAAGTTCTACTAAACTGAGGAAGTTTCCTTTTAACAGTTTTAGCAACAATCATCAGGATCCAGTGCTCCAGAGCTGTCAGGGAAGGTACTTTCTGAGCTTCTTGGGCTGTGTTTTACTGTATCAGGGGACTGCCAATGAGTTCTCTGATTCCAGAACTCCTTGAATTTACATTTTAAGCTATGTACATTTAAAAAAAAAAAAAAAAAACAACACAAGTCCATTTGGTGCCAGTGTTACAGGCAGCTGAGTTAGAATATTATAAGCAGTCAGACAGGGCTGAGCCCTCAAAGTGATATAGAGGAATGAAATTCCCAACCTACGATGTCCGCAAGTTCGTGTTTTTTAAATCCAAGAATGAATTTTAGGAACAACAGAGGTTAAGAGCAGAATATATTTATTGAGAGAAAGAAGACTTCTGTCTGAAGAGAGACAGGAGTCCTGAATGGGTTACCAAGGACTCTCTCTTTTTAAGGGACTTCTAAGGGTAAAACCATGGTTCAAGGTGGGGAAAACTGGGAACTCACAAGGCAGATGGGCAGAAGGTGGGACAGAGCTGTGGTCAACCAAGAAGATTAACTGCTCAGGTAAAATTGGTTACATTAGAGGCAAATGGGGAAGTGAAAGCCAGCTTTCTTAAGGAGTAGTGACTCTTCCTAGGGGGATAAGATGGTGACACCAGGCTTCCTCAGGATTATAGGAACAAATTAGAATATCAGTCCTTAGGATGTGCATGCATTTGTTTGATCCTTTGTCTTGAGGTTTGGCCCGCAGCAATGTCTGTCTGCCTCACAGTTGTAGGATATCTGGGCTTCTGCACTGGCTCTTTTGAGGACCCAGCCCTGTTTGACTGCCTATAATATTTCTAACTAACTCAGCTGCCTGCAACAAAAGGAGCCGGTGCAGAAATTCAGATACCTTGTGACCTCTGAGGAGACAGGCACCTCCTGCTGCCAGATCTCAAGACAAAAGGCAAGCAAATACAACCACATCCTAAGGATCCACAGACCAACTAGGTCTCCATCTCCCTGAGGAAGTCAGGAGTCACCACCCGCTACAGGAAGGCTCACTGCTGTTAAGCATGCCTGCTTACTATGTGACCCACTTCCCCATTTGTTCCTGATTTGCTCAATCTCACCCGAGCAGTTAATCTTATCGGTTGACCACAGCTCTGTCCCACTTTATGCCCATCTTGTGAGTTCCTATTTTTCCCCCACCTTGGACCCATCTCACCTCATGGTTTACTCTATAAAAGTCCCTAGGAAAGACAGTCTTTGGCAGCTTGCTCAGGACCCCTTCTGTCCCTCAGACAGAAGCTTTCTTTCTCTCAAATATATTCTGCCCTTAATGTCCCTTGTTCCTATAAGTCATTCTTTGATTTTGGAGAACACAAACTGGTACCAGATATATAGCAAGTCAGGAGTTTTACTCCCCTATATCACCAGGAGTCAAGCTGAGACTTGACTTAGAACCAGTCGACTCTCACAGCAATACACAGAAGGTACATCAGTGATCTTGGCCTCAGATGTCTGGCTCAGTGGTCTGGTGGAATGTCATACCCAAAAAGAGTCACACTGCAAATTACCACTTTCTGACTGTGGCCACTGGCTGTCCCTTCTAGGG